CGGACCCAGGTCGGGGGGCCTGGGCCACCAATTTTTGACACGCACTCCGGAGTGCAAAAAACCATCGGCAATTTGTAAATAACAGCCGGTACAGCCGGTACAGCCGGTACAGCCGGTACAGCCGGTACAGCCGGTACAGCCGGTACAGCCGGTACAGCCGGTACAGCCGGTACAGCCGGTACAGCCGGTACAGCCGGTACAGCCGGTACAGCCGGTACAGCCGTTTCGCGGTATATGTGATTTACGGATTTTATTGTTGTTATTTATTAAAATTAAAGTAAATTTTACTATAATATGTCGTAATTAGTCATTTAGCGCGCCAGAGAACAGTTTATAGGAGAATGGAGCTATTCGGGGCTGTAATATCTGCATTATTCACCGTTTTTAGCAGAGACTCTTTGATTTGAGCGTTAAAACAATTAGTTAATACATAAAATTGATTTCACTGACTTCATTCAAGGTTACAGAAGCCTTTATATTATAGCATCCCTTGTCGGAGCCCAGTTTTGATGTTTCTGTGCCTTATTACTCGTTTTTAGTCCTTTAACATATGGTTTCTCGAAGGTAGTACTGTTGGAAGGTTGAATTATGGTTTTTATCGTTAAGTTAATGTTGACAGACTTTCATTGTAGTGTGCTATTAACTCCGAAACTATAAATTGTATGCTTAGATCAATTGTTGACGCAGGCGCACGTGGCGGGCGGTTTTGGCTCCAGGGTAGAAGCTTACTAGGCGCTTTGCTGAAATTACTCAGGTTTTAATTGAAGCACAGGCTTAGCTTTGCTTTAGCATGCTTAACTGAAGCACTAGCGTAGCGGATCTTAGCTTTAATATACCGCTCGTCTCAAAAACAAGTAAGTTGGCGAGCTTCGCGTACAGCCCAGCGCAACGTGGCTTAAGCGACGCTTAGACTTGGTCATACTAGAGTTTGGCAGAAGCTAGCTTAGTTTTCCCTTAAGCTTAGAGCTTAGAAACATCGTTTGAAGATACTTGCGTGAAAAATTGGCTCTGCATGACGAGCTAAAAGTTTCTTGGCTGCTAAAAACGTTGCTGCTCGGCTGTGCTCATAAAGGGAAAAGCGGAAACAGATGAGCAGAATTAGCTAGTAAGTTATAAACTTACAAATAAAATAGCGAATAGGCTCCCTCAGTTTAGTTTAACACTTCATCCTTAAAATCAAAGCTTTAAAGGTGAGCCAATAGAAGCCAAGTCTACGCGGTGGCTTAGTTTCGCTGACAGCCAAGTCAAGCTGCGTTAAACCTAGTTATAAGAAAACAATAAGTGCCAGAAGCTTGTAGCGCAGCTAAACGGTGTTTAGGCTTGGAAATTCGGCTGAGATTAAGCCAACCTCTTTCACAAAGCAAAGCCGCCTAAGTCTGTCACGTAGCTAACCACGTTAGTGCTACCCCAACGCATACACGCTTGCCAAGAACAACCTAGCTGCTATAATTGAATTATTCTGCGAGGATTACAACGTTTTTGCACTGGAAATGAATAATAATGCACAGAAAGGGCAGCAACTGGACTCCGACAAGCGATGCTTACCTAGAAAAGCTTCTGTTACAGTACAGAAAGAAACTGAAATCAATAATATGTATTAACTAAATTATTGAATGAAAAGAATCAAAGAATCTATGCTAAAAACGGTGTATAATGCAGATATTACGGCCCCAAATAGCTCAATTCACCTATAAAGTACTCTCTGGCACGTTAGCTGACCAATTACGACATATTATAGTAAAAACTAACTTTAATTTTAATAAATAACACCAATAAATGCGTAAATTACATATACCGCGAAACGGCTGTACCGGCTGTACCGGCCGTACCGGCTGTACCGGCTGTACCGGCTGTACCGGCTGTACCGGCTGTACCGGCTGTACCGGCTGTACCGGCTGTACCGGCTGTACCGGCTGTTATATACTAATTGCCAAACCATCCCTTCACTTTTGACGCTGTTTTAGGTATAGAATGCCCTGAAAAAATCAGCGGACAACGGTAAGTCTTCCACCTGGCTCACTATTCCTAGGCAGAACCCGACTGTCGGCTCGCAGAATACCTGGCCGAAAGGCTAGTCAATCTCTCTCTCTCATTCTCTCTCGCACGTCGTCTGCCGATTTCGTCCCTTGCGTTTTGCCCTGAAAAGGGCAATACAGACGGCGTGCGGACCGGCGATCCCGGAAACCATTCGCCCAAGGGCAGTTGGGCACCAATTTTTGCAGCGCCTACGGGTGCTAATTTCTAGAAACTCCGGGTTGCTTTCGTTTTTCGTTTTTTCCAGGGGGGATTTGTTCATGATCTACGTCCATTTTCCGAACTTCGATATTACGAATTTGGGAATCCCGATTTGTCGCTGCACCTGAACAGCCCCCCAGCTAGCCCACTATCGGCACAGAATTCACAATGGGCCATCGATGAAACAACTTCTAGCTATACCCGTCGAGGCGTGTCCTCGCCGGGATAGTATCCCATTTCCAACGACCGGCGATAACGGCAACGATGCGCCCATGGGGCTTATGGGCTCTAATTTTTGAGAGCGCTCGCCTCGCTAGCGCAAAATGGTTACTAGAAAGGGCATCTAGGGGGGTATTGAGGATTTGGTTAGGGATTCCTTATCGCTGCCACCGATTCCCATAAACGGTTTCGAAGAAACCCTTCTCTAAAAAATGGATTTCAAAAACCTCGCTTTTCGAAAATCGCCATATCCCGTTTCTGACTCTGACTATACAATTAATAAAACAACAGATAAGAATGTTTCAAAATGTTGATTTTTGAACAAAAAAAATCAGGTTCATAGATTTTTATGAATATTTAGCGTGCAAAAACTAATTAGAGATCAGGCTAGCAGAGATTGTTTGATGACATGGACGGACCCCGAGAGGAGGGCAGGCTAGCAGAGATTGTTTGAGGAAATGGACGGACCCCGAGAGGAGGGCAGGCTAGCAGAGATTGCCTGTGGAAAAAACGTCCTCAAATTACCTATTATAGCTTTCCGGTGACTCCGTGTCGTGCTTTCTTTTTGCAACATGGTTTTTCTCACAATCTCTGCCCTTCTTTGCGTATGCAAAAACATACGCGTCCGGAAAAGGCTACTCGATACTGGGCCCTAGACCAAAAAATGGGTCCCCTGGGTCCTATGATGTCAGTCTGGCCCCGGGAAATGTGGTCCACTATTTTTGCGTTCGGGCAGTCAAGAGCAAAAGCTAACAAGTGGGGACCACCCGGAATTGGATCCGGGAACCTGAATTTTGTAATTTTTATTAAGTAGACACAGACATTTGGTGCTGTAAGGGGTAAGAGGTGGGATTTTTTCGAGAAGGAAAAAATACCTAGTAACTTAATAGTAAGTGTTTGAATAGCGTTAAGCAAAATCTAACTATATTTCAAAGCGAAAAGTGGGAAAAATTTTTCGCATTTTTCGAGAAAAATTGTACATTTTTTGAATAAACCAACCAAACAAACCAAAAAAATTGGAAATACTTCGTCTAATTGTATGTATTAGTAAAATTGGATAACAAAGAAAAAGTTGTTTGCGCGAAAACCTTATAAATTATAATTCTTAAAAATCTTCCCTGACTCCTTCAGATTGTAAAGACTACGTTAGTACGTCATTAGACAGCAAGCAGCATAAAAAAATTTAAGCTTTGAAATTTGTTGTTTCACTTCCGAAGCCCTATCGTCTCCAATTCGCAGAAGTACTACGTGAGGCCTTGCATCGCAAATTAATGATTTCATTCCCATTCATGCCCGCATTAATCGCAAAAATTATAAAACACCGAATGAAATTGGTTTTATTTTGTGCAAAATTAAACTTTTTGATTCGTTTAAGGTATCAAAATTGTTGTAATTGCGGTTTGGTATTTTAGGAGATTTCCAGAAATTGTGTTTCATTTAGCTGACGCTACCGTTTTATCGAGGTAAGCTTAATCGTCGGACGATTAGTGGGAAAATAGCATCTCGTGGCGCCGAATAATTAACGTCAATATTATTGAACTCCAGCATACTAATTATTAGCTTAATATAACCTCTTTAAAGGGGCTCGGAAGTCAAAATTCGCGCGTGCGGGGGTTGAACCCACTGGTCAAAAAACAAAAGGATCACTGCCGAGAAGTACCAGAAAAATTATTTCATTATGAAAAACGTCAAATATATTTGAGTAAACAATCTTATCTCGGGGTGAAAACGACCTTTTGATTGCGTGGCGATTACATGTCGTAATGCCTTGCAAGACACCCAATATCTCGATCTCGGTGATTCTCTGGTCAATTTTTATAATTAAAACGTCTAAAATGATCAAAATTCGATAAGTATTCCAGCAATAGCTTCAGAATTCTCAAATTCAAGCGTTTTCACGTCCAAATAGCGGCCAAAGATCATGCGGTGCGGTCGCGTTGCGGTCGCATCTGGCTATTCAGGAATCGACTCAGAGGGCGGTGGACCAGATTTTAGAGCCCCTATGAATGCATCGAAACTAGAGCCTAAATTTAAGGTAATTTAGGGCAAACAATCAGTTTTTTTAAATAATAGGTTTCATTGCCTTGTCATTAGCAATTTATCCGAAAATCTAATTAGACAATTGCCAGGAAATTGCTTCTATTAATGCGCCGGCCGAATTCATTAATTCAAGGCCACAATACCACATTGCAATTTTGGCAACCAGCCAGCCTGCCAGCCAGGAGAATTAAAATGGTAAAATTTTTATTTTGATTCCAAAATCTCTGTTTTCAAAATATTTAGTTTGATTGCTATTATTCGATTGTTCTGGGCGGAATTTAATTAATGTAGTGAAATGGCAATGTGCGTTTATTAATGCGTCTAACTAATTTAACAATACAATTTTACAACATTATTTTGAATTAAATTTAATACCGTACGCTTTCGGCGCATCAAAAACATTTAAATACAGAACTTTTCAAAAATTGTTAAAAATTTATGTTTGATCGTTTCCGGCTATCAACGTCTCAGCAATAGATTTAATGTTTCGCGAGCTCCATCTAGTGATGAAAATGATAAAATTTTTTATGGAGTGTGCATTAACGTTATTTAATAATTCTTTTTAAGTTAATTGATTTAATATTTGTTTTGAAAAGCAAACTTTTAGTTTTTCTTCGTTTAGAGGATTTTCCTGATTTCCGATAAGACCATTTTTCGAGCGGGGGATTTAGTCGCCTAAATAATTTCACTATATCACTTAAATATAGTGTATTAATTATGATTAACATACTAGTTTCAGACAGCCAATCGAGAGGCGCGGCTCGCGCACCCGTCTCTCCGGAAGTGTCGACCATATGGGCCAGGTCCAGGGCAGAAGGTACCTTAATTGAGCGTCGTTATTTTAATCCTCAATATGCTTCATTAAATCAAATAAAATTCGATCTAATCCAAATCTGATAAAACTCATTTGCAGCTAAATTTGCTGCTCGGTTAGTTAAATAACGCTAACAAGTTTTCAATAAAAACTACACAAAGGTTAATTTATTCTGAAAAAACCAGATGGTTACAGTCGCTTCGCGACTGCAACCATCTGGCCTTCGGGCTACCCTACATGTCCCACTCCACCACATCCTTTCCCACCTCCATCAAAACCCCGATAGCAGAAATCCCCTTCAAAAACTACCTAAATACCTTCCCGATGGCTTCAGATACCTCCCCTAGCCGAAATCCTTTTAAAAAACGAAAATAACGACCGACCGGATGGAATGAGAGAAAAAAAGAAATGAAATCCCCCGTGAAAATTTTCATCCACGAAACGCGCGCCACCTGGCTCACTATATCCAAAATCACCCCTACCTCCGTCCCCCATCGCTTTTACTAAGGAAAAAACTTTCAAAGTTAATTTTAATAATTTAAACGAAAACTTTTTCATAATTTTTTTATCAGTTTGGGGGTTTCTGACCACGCTCTATCCGAATCCGAAGAGAGCTAAGCTCTAGCTCCTTTCCCCTTCGCGTTGAATTCGGCTTCAGACACACACACAGACGTCTTTACTTTTTTATTATAGTTGATGTTTGAAATTTGCTAGGAAACAACAAAAAAGTTCCCGAATTAATTCTTTGTCGTTACTATCGATGATTAAAAAAATTAACTAGCTTTTCCGCATAGTAGGTAATGGTCCCTTTTTGCTTGCTAGTTTTTAATGATAAAAAAGCTAAATCAAAGCCACGCTTGTCCAGTTCCTTAAAAATGTATTAAGAAAAGTTCTACCAACATCCAAGTGATTTTTTGGAAGAATGTTTCAAAGGTGTCTAAAACCAAAAAATAATTGGAATATCAATTGGCTCCGTCTGCGAGGGCCATTAAAATTTGAGGAAGAAGCTATGAAAAATGAGAAAAATCTGTATCTCCGGTGAAAAATTTCGAACTTCCTGTTTTCAAAACAAAACAGATTCTTCGGGCTAGATGTTTCAAAATATTTAACAGCCATAAAATAAAAATAAATGGTGATGTTAGGTGTAAAAAAAACAGAATAATTTTTTGTGATTCGATTCATTGAAATTCGCGTTCTTGCTAAAATATGTGTAGGATAGAGTGTTTCAAAAATTATGCTGGACAGAAAGTTTAGCAAATTCTGAATTCTCAGTTGGTTGATCGGTGTCATAAAAATAAAATGTGTTTCGATGAAAATAATTGAAAAATGATGCAGTGTGAGGATAATTCCAGAAAAAGTGTTAACATTTTTAAATCAGGCATTTTAACTTAAGTTTAAATTTTAAAAATTAAACCGTATTTTTAGCCAATTTTAGTGCTAAAAAAAATTATTAAGATGCTATAAAGTTTTAAAGTAGCTTTATAAAACTCGTCGATAAACTATCAATAAACGCCACACTGCAATTCCCAGATCGAGCCGCGCCACACTGCACATCGGGGAGAACGGAGAGGCCGGGATGAGCGTCCAGGAGCAGCTCAAGCTGACGCCGTAATTTTTACTTATTAAAAAAATGGTAGAGCTGTTCTTGTTTTATGTATTAGCAACATTTAATTTTTCGAACGACTTTAAAGTTACCATAAATTACGGTTTTTTAGATATCAATGCCAGCTGCTCCAGTCGACGTGGACCAAGATCAAGTCGAGCAACAGCACGTTTACACAGATATTCAAGTGAGTGGGGCCAGCTAGCAGAGATTGTTTGAGGAAATGGACGGACCCCGAGAGGAGGGCAGGCTAGCAGAGATTGTTTGAGGAAATGGACGGACCTCGAGAGGAGGGCAGGCTAGCAGAGATTGTTTGAGGAAATGGAAACCCCGAGGGTACCGACTTTTCTTGGGCCCTGATTGGGGAATATTGGATCGAAGCGAAAGACGTTCATCTGGTCCACTATTATGGCGGATATGCGGGGGTTTTTTCCGAGATGATGAGACCAGGCATTGGTAAACGGAGGCGGTCCCGGTATGCTCGGTGCAACCTCTCCGGCTTCCCCTCCCGCTCCCCTGTGCTCAAGCCCACCCGAAGTCCCGATAATCGCGAGTATCGCGGAACTCGGAGCCGTTGCCACCACTCCGGCAGGCTTGTCGGCAGTGGCTGGCGCGTGCGGGCAAATTTTTGGAAAGCGCCCTTCGGGGTGCCCTACTCTGGCCCTTTCGGAAAGTTTCGAAATCTGGGTTTTTGGAATTTTCGTTGTTATTTAAAGGGATAAGGAAGGCCCAGCTGATAGAATTGAAATCCAACCGGAAAAAAGCCAACCGGAAATGCTAATGCCACAAAATGCGCAGAGGAGGAAGCAGCGCAGCAAAGTTATCCGAATTTTAGAACTCAAACTAGTTTTATGCTAATTTAGCTGGTCCTTCCCGACCCCCTTCAATAGCGCTATTTTTCGAATATTTTGAAGCATAGACTGCCAACTTGGTTAGTCTCTGGGCTTGTGTATCAGCAAAAACGATGCCGATCCGACATTCCTGGCACTTGTCTAGCATGCAAGAACGCAGCGCACCAAGCGAAAGCCGCCTATCTGGCCCACTAATTTTTTACATAAAGGGTGGACACTCGAAGAGGTTAGGAATTCTCGAAATCCCCGGATCAGGGTTGGCCGAGGTTACTGTGCCGCCCTCGATCCTATAACCGTTTACGGGCCGCGGGCAGAGAACGTTGCTCCGTATTCGGTACACTGGGTCTGAGCGTTCATTCCGCGTGCGTGAACGTATATTTCCCATTATAATGGGGCGGCGATCGATCATGACGGTCGTTTTCCCCTATTCGGAATCCTGGTAATCCCGGGTATCCTCGAGAATTCCGAGCCGCTGGCCTACCAAAGTAGCCGGCGTGCGACAAATTTTTGGAAAGCGCCCTTCGGGGTGCACTAATCTTTAGGGGGTCATCATGGTAGGCTTATTTAAACTGGCCCAGAATACAAATTTTAAGGGTTCGGGAAGCAAACCGATTTGCGCAAAAACTAAAAACATATCGCCTAATAGTGGAGAAATTTCGTACGTCGTTGCGTTGCGAAGGTCAAATATTTGCAAAAAAAAATTTGGCGCAAATCCGCTTTTTGGATCCGCGTGAATTATATTTCGCCATGTAAGGCATTCGTCAATATTGCTCGTGCAATTTGCTCAATTTTGAAAATTTAAAGAGCCGAATTAAAATTTAAAATCGCCGGAAGATCCAGAATGGGTTACAGAATTTTCAAATCTACGCATTTTCATGTCCAAAACTGGCAATTTGTCACGGATCAACACTGGACCAGACTTCTTTGCCCGTTTTGCACGTTTCGAAATCCACCGTTTAATTTTTAATAGATTCTGCTCCGTTTAATACTTGAGATTCTACCGTAATATTACAGTTTTGGAACGAAACGAAAGTCGGCGTGGTCGGCGTGATCTTGGCGCTTTCTTGACAAATTTGTCATTTGCCGTACAAAATCCGGAGTACCAGCGAAAGCCGCCCACCTGGCCCACTGTTTCAACTCATAGACAGGCAACTTCCCGACTCGAATCAGGAGTCGCTCTCCGGGACTTGCCGTCTGCACGAGGCTCGTCCAGGCGCCTCAGTTGTGGTGGCACCGCACGAGGTAGTGGCTTTTGGATTGATCTCTGATCTCCAGCCCGCCGTCCGGGAGTTCCGATGGTACATTGGACCCCGTCGGAAACCCGGTAACCCCGGTGAATTCCGATCCCTCGTCACCGCTAATTGCGCGGTTAGCGGTGGCCTGGGACGCGCACAAATTTTTGGAAAGCGCCTTTCGGGGTGCACTAATGAAAAGAGAATTCGTTTCAGAGGCCATCTCTCTCTCACGCTCTCCTTCTCTCTCTCTCTCACTCTCTCACTCTCACTCTCTCTCTCTCTCGCTTTCAACCTCTCCCTCCCAGGCAACAGAATATATTTTTTGCCTGGACCCCTGAAACATTAGTGCTTCGACAAGGCAACTGTCTTGCCAGACAAAAAGAACCCCATCTGGCCCACTCATTCAAGATGTATCTCAGAAAATTCTTGGCTTAGTGTGTTGTGTGTGTGTGTGTCCACGGAGCTGGCGATCCCGGACCGTGATTTCGCTTCATTGATTGAAGCCAACATTTGCTAAAATGCGAATTTTTGGAAAGCGTCCTTCGGGGTGCATTAATCGACCTGCAATCATAAATTCGAGCTAATTATACAAAAGTTTAATTCCTATTTTCCAGGCTGTTCTGCTTCAAGTCGTCACTGGCGCGGGAGATCTTCCAAAAGCTCAGCATCGTCGAGGGGTTCAAGTCGGACGGCCGCTGCGATTTGGCCATGCACGCAAAGGTGAGACACGTCTAATCTTAGGTTTTTTTCAAATTAAAGTTTTAAAAGTTTGGATTTTGTGTTTTTCTAGGGATTCCACGAGGTTAAATTCCCTATAAATTTATACAACACACAGAGTTGCGGAACGCATTTTTTAGGATTAGCTTCTGCCTTTTTCCAGCTTTTTTCTCCAATTTTACCATTCAGATATCATTCAAAAATTAAAAAATACCCCGAAATCCATTTATGCTAGCCAGAATTGATATTTTTAAAGCGTTCTACAGAGTTTAAGCTCTATTGAGGTCCCCGGAAACCCGGAGATTTTCGAAATATGCTGAAGACTATTTCTTTTTCTTTTCACAACTAGCGCTAGCAAAGCCCGTTCAAATAATGCCGGAATTTAGTTAATAATGATTATTTTCTATACTCTGCCATACCCCCAGGGGGTATACCCCCCATGGGGGTACAAAAGGGGTACGAGGTGGGGGTAAAGATGGGGTACGGGGTAGGGGTACAAAGGGGGTACGGGTGGGGGTACAAATGGGGGGTACCCCCCGCCCCCACAGCAGCCTAGCAAATTTTTCTCTAGCGACCTCCCACACATACCACATGTCCGTGGCTCGCAAAAAATACAACAAGAAATGACGAAGTCAGCTGGGATTGTATCAAGGCAGTTAATAAAATAAAAAATTTGAACTAAACATTTTTTAAGTTGAATGTTTATCGGGGACCAAACTTTTTGAAATAAACCCAGAAACCCCTGGTAACGTTATAGTAAGAGTTTCAATAATGCTTTTAGTAAAATTCAGACATGTTTTAAGTGGAAAAAAATCACAAAAATTTTTAAAAAGGTTTAGTTCAAGTTTCTTATTTTATTAACTGCCTTGGTGAAATTCCGGGGCGGACTTCGTCATTCCTTTTTGAATTCTGGGGGTACCCCCCTTTGTACCCCCTACCCCCTACCCCGCTGTACCCCCACCTCGTACCCCTTTTGTACCCCCATGGGGGGGTATACCCCCTGGGGGTACGGCAGAGTATATTATTTTCAATCCATGATACCAAAAAGTTTCGCAGATGGTTTCAGAACAGACATTAAACACCATGAGAATGCTTGCAAACACTTTTTCCAAACACTTTGCCCTCCGTAAAAGGCTTATTCTACAAAATTGAATTTCCCCATGTGATAGCCTAGTTTAACCCATTCAGCAGAAAAACCATTCTTCCCGGATGAGGATTATAACGCACTAGAATTCCGGCTATCAAAAAATTCCCGAAACACATTTTTAAAACCATTAACATTTTTGCCTGGTTCAACATGCTATCTACTATATATAAATTTCTAATGTCCGTATGTACGTCCAGGAATTCAGCTAAATTCCGCATTCAAATTGAAAATTCTAATTGAGGGGGCGGGGAGGGCCAGCGCTACACACGCTCGAAAGAAAAGTTCTCAAAAAGTAGGGCAAAGTAAAGTTCTCTTTTGAAGAATCTAATAAGTAACTTGGTTAAAGGGAAGCTGTTCAAACGACAGGATTGATTAAATTTTTCGATAATTTCTTTGCTCCAAAGACGTTTGATACACTGATTTGAAACGGAACTCGTCTTTCAAAAAAAAAATTATAAAATTCATTCATAATATTCCTCTGAAATGTTAGTTCAGCTCCAGCAGGTGTCACTCAAATTGGTCCAAGTTTTTTCGGAAGTTCCCATTTACTGTCCATTAATCTGCCCGAAGATGCCGGTAACCGACAATTTTTGAAACACATTTTTGAAAAAGAAACGAAATATACGATTCTAAAAAGATTTCGAAAAGCGTAAATTTTCATATTTGAAACCTAATTTAACTACTTGGTGAAGAGAAAATGGGCTTAAAAAATTTCACAATGGTGTCTTCGAGCTTTCTACAACGCATTGAATCTTTGGCGAATTTCGGGAATCAATGGTTTTGCGAAACGCATTTTTGATTGCAAAATAGAACGGTTTGCCGCTTTTGTCTCACACCTTTTGCTCCAAAATTAGGCCATTATAATTAAATTAATATTGTCTTATTATTCTTGTAAATATATATGGCTTAAGTTCAATCGGATTCATTGCCATTAATGAAATTTTCGATTGCCTGGACTTTCGATGAGGTTTATTTGCCTTTACTCGTATTTAATGGAGCTTCGACTGCAATATTCAACGATCTAAAGCTATAAATATATAAGAATTAAACATAAATAAAATAAATAAAGTTATCACCAATTTTCAGACACTCTGCGACCTGCTCGACGCGATTTTGGGCGATTTGGGGCAGCCAGCCAAGGGAGTCGAGGTGACACTAATTTCTTGATTTAATTAATCTAATTTATGCGATAAAAAAGCGCAGGAATAACTTTTAAAACTTATTTGAACTCGAGCCAATTTCCAAAACCCCTTTTTTTTCCAGGCAAAATGCACGGAAATCGGATCGCTGCACCACAACATGAACGAGACGGCCGCCGGCGCCTTATGGGAATCCCTAGGGGAATGCATGGCTGAGGTAATTTTACGTCTATTTTTGTATATCTTTATTGCCCGTGATTTTAAATCTTTCATAATTATCAATCAGCCATTTTTACACATTTCGACAAACAGTGTTAGACAAAATTATTCATCCGTAAGGTTGATCTCTAGCATAATAAACCTTCCGTCACGACGCTTATCTTGCCAAGAGTTCTTCCCTGCCTTTTTTTATTATTTTTAGTGTATCCACACTAATTAATATATTTAATAATTCGGAAGAATTTTAACTTCTTTGAAACAACCTACATTAGGTGCTTTTTAGGTAATCACCAAGGTCGACTGTGTACGGTCGAAAAGAGAGGCTGGAAAAGCCTGGATCACCGTCATTTCCTTTATGGTAAGTGGGCAGGCTAGCAGAGATTGTTTGAGGAAATGGACGGACCCCGAGAGGAGGGCAGGCTAGCAGAGATTGTTTGAGGAAATGGACGGACCCCGAGAGGAGGGCAGGCTAGCAGAGATTGTTTGAGGAAATGGACGGACCCCGAGAGGAGGGCAGGCTAGCAGAGATTCTTTGAGGAAATGAACGGACCCCGAGAGGAGGGCAGGCTAGCAGAGATTGTTTGAGGAAATGAACGGACCCCGAGAGGAGGGCAGGCTAGCAGAGATTCTTTGAGGAAATGAACGGACCCCGAGAGGAGGGCAGGCTAGCAGAGATTGTTTGAGGAAATGGACGGACCCCGAGAGGAGGGCAGGCTAGCAGAGATTCTTTGAGGAAATGAACGGACCCCGAGAGGAGGGCAGGCTAGCAGAGATTGTTTGAGGAAATGGACGGACCCCGAGAGGAGGGCAGGCTAGCAGAGATTGTTTGAGGAAATGGACGGACCCCCGAGAGGAGGGCAGGCTAGCAGAGATTCTTTGAGGAAATGAACGGACCCCGAGAGGAGGGCAGGCTAGCAGAGATTGTTTGAGGAAATGGACGGACCCCGAGAGGAGGGCAGGCTAGCAGAGATTGTTTGAGGAAATGGACGGACCCCGAGAGGAGGGCAGGCTAGCAGAGATTGTTTGAGGAAATGGACGGACCCCGAGAGGAGGGCAGGCTAGCAGAGATTGTTTGAGGAAATGGACGGACCCCGAGAGGAGGGCAGGCTAGCAGAGATTGTTTGAGGAAATGAACGGACCCCGAGAGGAGGGCAGGCTAGCAGAGATTGTTTGAGGAAATGGACGGACCCCGAGAGGAGGGCAGGCTAGCAGAGATTGTTTGAGGAAATGGACGGACCCCGAGAGGAGGGCAGGCTAGCAGAGATTGTTTGAGGAAATGGACGGACCCCGAGAGGAGGGCAGGCTAGCAGAGATTGGAGGAGGAAATGGACGGACCCCGAGAGGAGGGCAGGCTAGCAGAGATTGGAGGAGGAAATGGACGGACCCCGAGAGGAGGGCGGGCTAGCAGAGATTCATGTAAAATTTGGCGCATCTTGTTGTAGCTTTCTGCATTTTTACAAAAAAAAGTGTTTTATTCATGTTTTAGGTGATCTTTTGGTATTGGATCCGCGTTGTCTATAAAATTTCTATAGCTCCTTTTCCAGGTGGACACGATGAAAAGCGGCTACCAGAGCGAATATCGTAAGCATCACGCCTCGAGGAATTCGATTTCGCGCCCATCCTGCGAACGCGTCAATCAATGAGAAATTTGATTGGGTTGAGTTCCAAAAAAGCATCGTTTTTAAACCTTTCAGCCCAATCTTAAAATTTGAATTTAATTGTTATAAATTCTATGCTTTTGTATTTTTCGAAATGTTTTGTTTTCATGTTCATTTAATTCCCTATCCCTGCAAACAAATCTCTTTTTGAAATACGGGCCCCAGCTCCTCTTAAATACCTTTAAAAAACTCTCATGAAGATAATATCAATCTCATTTGCATCTCAATTTCTTATCGATTTTGTGCGATTTTGTATTTTATCTTTTACTTAATTCGTGACTTTTTGTGTGTATATAAATTGTTTTTCAAAGCACTATGAAAGATGACAACGGTGCGAACATTAAAGAAGACTTTTTTGCGCAATAGATGCATTGAGTTGAAACACAGTTTTTTTCGTTACGTAAAGCCGGGCTTTCGAAATGATCGATGGAGATCGAGCAGAGGTTCTTTAGAAAGTGGCAGATCAGGGATATCATGATTTTATGAATCTTTCCTCTTTTTCGTATTTTTATAACCACCTATCCTCAACCAAAAAATCGTTTTTTTTAAATAATGACTGAAACGCCCCTTAAATTACGACTTCAAATCGTTTTTTGTAACTTGTTTGAATTTTTATGATGTTTTAATTGGTGAATTTTTGTGTATATAAATAGTTTTCAAAGCGTCTTGAGAAATTCCACCTAAAAGATACATTAAAGTAGGTTTTTCGCGCAATAGATGCATTAAGATGAAACACAATTTTTGTTTTGACGTAGAGCATGGCTTTTGAAATTCTCGAAGGTGCCCTGGCAGAGGTTCTTTAGAACGGGACATATCTCGAGAAGAGGGCAAGCTAGCAGTGACGCCTTAGGAAGACCACGAATAAGTTGACGTGCTAATGACAGCGTCTGTTAAAAAATATTTCACTTTTTTTTTATTTAATCTGTCACGCGTTTATGTCATCTTTGCCGGGCGGCCTTCAAAAAGAATGCTTCAAGCAATCTCATCCGCCTGGAATGCGGTAGTTTTATTATTATTATTTTCTGTTTTCTTACCTTATGAATTTCCCCTTCTCCATTATCAGCAAATCAAATCCCTTTTCGAAATACGGCCCCAGCTCCTCTTCAATACCCTTGAAAACTCCCCGGAAGATAATATCAATCTCATTTGCATCTACATAAAATTCGTAACGATTTTTTGTGCAATGCTGTAATTTTATTTTTATTTGGTGACTTTTTGTGTATATAAATAGTTTTTCTAAGCGCTCTGAAGATTTCCAAACAAACGAGACATTAAGGAAGATTTTTATTGCCCACAGATGCATCGAGTTGAAACACAGTTTTTTCTTTACGTGGAGCTTTGCTCTTCGAAGTCTTCTTTGGAAATCTGGCAAAGGTTCTTTAGAATCTCGAGATTAGGATAGGCTAGCAGAGATTCCTTAGGAACCCCGAATAGGTTTACGTGCTACTAGCAGCTCCCGTTAAAAAAAATATATTACTCATTTTCGTTTAATTTTTCACGTTTTTATGCAATCCTTTGCCGTCCTTAGAAAAAACATGCTTCTAGAAATTCTATTTCGCGCTCCTCGGGAAAGCGTTAATCGGCCATGATCTGAACAGGACTGTAAGTTCCCGCGAAATCAATCTTTTTATTCTGATTTAATTTATTTTTTCAGAGCTTATGAATTCTTCCGTAAACAAATATTTTTATCCTATTTAATTCGTTAATTTTTGTGTATATAACGGGTTTGGTACTATTGAAGTTGGGGGGGCAAAATTTTTTTGGGTCATTTTTGGGCTAATTGGTCAGTTTTTCGTGGCTAATCCAGCGCAATACTCAACTCCTAAGCTAAGCTAAGCCGAAGCACAGTTAAATTGAGCTTGAACAAAGCTAAGTCAAAGCCAAAAGCAATGATGCTGTGGCGAAGCCAAGCTAAGGACCTGGTACTAAGGCTTAGGCTAAGCATAGGCCTAAGCCTAGGTTAAACTAGTTCTAAGCCTAGCCTAAGCCAAGCCAAAACTAAGCTAAGCTAAGCCTAAGCCAGAGAAAAACTGACCAATTAGCCCAAAAATGACCCAAAAAAATTTTGCCCCCCAACTTCAATAGTACCACGGGTTTTTCAAAACATGCTGAACGATTCCAAATGCCTTACATTAAAGAAGGCTGTTTTACCCAACATATGCATCGAGTTGAAACACAGTTTTTTTCGTCAACTAGAGCCGGCTTTTGAAAGTCTCCAATTTGGCAGCGGTTCTTTAGATAGTGGCGGATGCCGAGAAGAGGGCAGGCTAGCAGTGATGCCTTAGGAATTCTCAATTAATTGTTGTGCCATTTGCATCTCAAATGCTTATCGATTATTTGTGCGACCAGTGGAAAAAGACCGCTTCGCGGCCCTTTTCCACTGGACCCCGTCCAGGAACCATGAATTTAAATACCTTCTTTTTCGGTCTGCGCATGAACCTGAGTCAAGGAGCCATTCTTTGGCCTGTGGCGTGAGCCAGCGTTGCGCTAGAATCCTTGAGCCTGCGGCGCTAGTTACTGGTTTTTCTCTCCCGGAATCTGGCCTGCGGCGCGAGAGCCTGCGGCCAGGACCCATCCTTGGCCTGCGGCGCGAGAGCCTGGGTCCAGGACCCATCCTTGGCCTGCGGCGCGAGAGCCTGGGTCCAGGACCCATCCTTGGCCTGCGGCGCGAGAGCCTGGGTCAAGGACCTTTTCTTTGGCCTGCGGCGCTACAGCGAGAGCCAGGCCTAAACCGCGCACACCGTGAGCCTAAAAATAAGTTTTGTTGCTGAACTACCAAAAAGCAAAAAGTTAAATTGGCGAGGATCCGAACCCACGAGCTTGCGCGTGGTAGACCCTGCCCCATTCCACTACACCGCAGGACGGATGGGTACGGGGGCGGCAAAGGCCTCTTCTGTCCTGAGGGCGGGTTCGCCCAGGGCAGCGGTAAAGAAATGAGAGCTGGGAGGGATGCCTTCTGGTCACTTTGCAAAATTCGCTTTTTTAGTCTGAAACTGCCAAAAATTTGTCAAAATAATAAGATGCGCGTGATCCCCACCATCGAATACATACAGGGTGGCCCGAAAGAGTGGTGACCGAAACTTTTTCGATTTTCTGAAAAACTATAGATCGAGGAAAGCTCATTTTAGCACATTATATTCCTTAAACAATTATCTTCCACATGGTATAACCACTTTTTTATTTGTTTGCCTCAAACTTGAAAAAACTGGCGCGGAAGCGGATGGAAAACGGAGGTGCTGGCACGCAGACACTCAGCCCGAATTCGGCTCATAACTCGATGAAGACTTTCGCGAGCGAACCCAAAATTGAATCGGGAGTAGCCAACACTTTGGCCTTTCAGACCTGCTACACAAAAAAATTCTGCGGGTTCGGGTTAGGGCTGCAGGATCGCTCTTTTGGCGAGCAAAAACGGTTTGGTCAAAACCCTTAATAACGGGCCTCAGTCACTTGACCAAGTTGGAGGGTTCTGAGCCATAGCTGCACCACGAGCTTCACCGGAAACGTTAGGCACGCTCGTTAACGAGATGGAAAAAGCCTCGTTAAGTATTTTCTTCCACAGGAATTTATTTTAGTTTTGGTCGATTTCAAAAAATCCATGACTTTGAATTATGGAATTAAATTCCTAATGTAAAAGCTAGACTGCGTTGTGCGCTGAGCGTATGCTCAAATTTAGCCAACATCTATAGGAAACAGAATCCATAACCCCGCCTTGCCCAAACCCATAAGGGAACAGAGAAATTCTGTGTGCAAGCTGCGGTCACCACTCTTTCGGGCCACCCTGTAATTTGTCCAAATTCCAGCCCGAAATTCCATCTGGGCTTCGAGTTATGGCCTGGACACCACGGCACTTTGGCCATTTTGTTAAGGAATTCGCAGAAAAATGTTCATAAAAGCCTTATTTTAAAGAACTAACGAAAATCCAAAAAACGGTATCGAGATATTTTCATTATGCATCAATCCACCAAAAATCAGCGTCTAACTCCTTCTGGCAATCGAGATAGCCTCTGAACAAACCTTTTTTCGACCAAAATGTTAAGGATTTTTCAGTATTTCGCTTGTAAAATCGTTAAATGAAGGAATTTCAAAAAAACAAAAAAAAACCTTATGAAGGGGATGTATTTCTCCACCTCCATGCCAAAAGTCAGCCTGAAATTCGGCCTGACGGCCGAGAAATCGTCTGCACAGAAAACAAACATACTTTTCTCGCTTATAGGATAGGATATTGTATTTGTATTTTACGATCTTATTAAATTCGTGAATTTTTGTGTATATAAATAGTTTTTGAAAGCAGGCTGAAAGCTTCCCAACGAACCATACATTAAAGAAGATTTTTTCGCCCAATAAATGCATCGAATTGAAACACAATATCCGTTGTTACCTAGAGCCGTGCTTTTTAGCCTGGCGGTTCTTTAGATAGTGGCAGATGGCGAGAAGGCTAGCAGTGATGCCTTAGGAATTCCATAATAGTTGTTGGGCCTATTTTACATTCGAAAAAATTCTTTACCTATGCTCCGTCCAATTTCTCTAGGCTTACTCGGTTCAACTTTGAAAAAAGCATGCTTCAAGAAATTTCTTTGCGCGGCCTCCTGTGAATGCGACAACGAAGTCCATACTTCCCTTTAAACTTTAGAGCCCGATCGAATCGAACATTTTGAACGTTAGTTACGTTTGAATACCTTTCGTAAATGTATTTCTCAATCCATTTCAAAACCAAAACCATTTCTTGGTTACAAATAAATATAAATATCTATATATATCTTATCCACAACAAAAAAATCCCTTTTTGAAATACGGGCCCCAACTCCTTTTGAATCCCTTTAAAAAGAACTCCCTTAAGAACTCCGCTTAACTTGATCTGAGTAAATCACCGATTTAAAGCACTTTTTCTGTATTTTATCACGTTTATATTTTTACCATCATTTTAAGATTTCGATATTTTGCGTATATACATCGTTTTCGCAAAGCTTGAAAAACCAATCGGAAGTTGTCGCATTGGAGATGACTTTTTCGCGCAATAGAGGCAGTGAGCTGAAACACATATTTTCTTGATAGATAAAGCAGATCAAGAGAACAAGGCAAGTTAACAGAGATGCTCTAGGAAAACCCAACTAAGTTGCTGCACGGTTAAGGCCTCCTGAAAAATGTGGTTCTTCTTGTTTAATTTTTGGACGCTTTTACATAAAAGGAATTGGCATTGTCAGCGCAAAATTTGTAAATTCTGTCAGAGCAATTTCGATCTACAAAAGCCCTATGAATAAATCGTATTTTCCACCTTTTTGCCTTTTGAATTCTTATGAATCAACACACTCATATTTTAAAGGGATCAGGACTAGGCGAGGTCTGACCTGTAAGTCAGATCTCGCCTAGAATTCACATTCCCCTAAACGCCATTCAGCATTCTCTCTATCTCTTGCCACTCAAATTCGTGTCGATTTATCCGTACGCTATTTTGTTTGTTCTGTTGTTTGTTCCATTTTCAATATTTTTCTCTATCGAAATACATACTTTTGCGCAATATCATCATTATTCAGTTATAAACTTGTAATTAACGAAGATTTTTGTGCAACAGAGGGCAGAGTGATGAAACAAATTTTTTTCGGTAGAGCGCCAAACTTCTTGGAACCGAAATTAAGACAATAACGAAAAATCACGCAACGAAGACTAGAATAAATAGTTTTGTAAATCCTATTTTTTTATTATTTTATCTCAGTGCCTTTACCTTTTTAATTGTCTTCATGCTATCCACTGAGATCATATTGTGATGGTCATACTCTGCCTTAATGTAAAACTTGGTAAAACACAGTTTTTCAATGCTTCTAACGACATTTAGAAATGCTAAACCCGGAGAGGAGGGCAGGCTAGCAGAGATTGTTTGAGGAAATGGACGGACCCCGAGAGGAGGGCAGGCTAGCAGAGATTGTTTGAGGAAATGGACGGACCCCGAGAGGAGGGCAGGCTAGCAGAGATTGGAGGAGGAAATGGACGGACCCCGAGAGGAGGGCAGGCTAGCAGAGATTGTTTGAGGAAATGGACGGACCCCGAGAGGAGGGCAGGCTAGCAGAGATCCTTTGCCGGAATGTGCTCACCGGTCACCCGAGTTTTGATAAATCGCCTGGCTGCTGCCCATTCCGGCCCCGTTATCAGCCATTTCCATGTCCCCAAAACGGGATTATGGCACCTCAAAAATACACAACCCCCCTCGGAGCTTCTTCCTCCCCCCAGAGTTGGTGTCTTTTATCTCACCATTTTGAAGCGGTCCCTCTCTTCCCCTCGGTTCGACCGCAAGATTATCGATTGTTTTGCGGGACCTACCTGCCAGATTTGAATTGATGTTTCATTATTACTACTGAAAAAGAATTCTTAGAATTTGCTTAATCGAAAGCAGCGTAGCGCGCCATTTACTCGAAAATCATTGTTTCGAACATTTAATACTTTTGTTGCCTCAATTCTGAATTCAAGCATTTCGCAGCTTGAATTTTCCGCGCTGATGTTTCAAAAAAAAAACAGATCTTGAGAAAATAATTTGTGAGAAATGATATTCCCCCAAGATGATCAACTATAATAATTTTCTTGAGGCGTCAGTGTGTCTGAAGCCGAATTCAACTCGAAGGGGAAAGGAGCTAGAGCTTAGCTCTCTTCGGATTCGGTTAGAGCGTGATCAGAAACCCCCAAACTGATCAAAAAATATGAAAAAGTTTTCGTTTAAATTGTTAAATTTAACTTTGAAAGTTTTTTCCTTAGTAAGGGGTGGGGGACGGAGGTTGGGGTGATTTTGGACATAGTGAGCCAGGTCGCGCGCGTTTCGGCGAAGGGGAGGGAGCGCACAAGGGGTAGCCCGAAGTCCAGCCGCTTGCAGCGGCGAAGCCGCTGGAAGCGGCTGGTATTTTGATAGAATGATTATCGAAAAATGACACTTTGACAAAATGAATTTTCGGCAAAGTGAATTTCGCCAAACTGTAACGGAATATAAACCATTTTCATGGAATTATAGGCAGTCTTTTATATATGAAGCGTTTGCCCAATAATATACGAAAAACCCTCTTATCTAGTTTGATTTTTTCTTAAGAAAAATAATGGGTTTCAATACATTATATGTTATTTTTGCTTCTTGCGCTCATAATTGTTCTTCCAAAATCGGTCCTAACCCTCAATTTAGATCCCCCGAAAATCCTCTCTAAAATTCCGCCAAAATTACGCGCCCCCGGCGATGGATTTCGATTTTGTTGTCGGTATGCTGCTTCGTACTTGCCGGTGACGCCGGCGGAATGTTGCTGCACAAGCTCTTCTGCTCCAACGAGAGGCGGGAGTTATTTTAATAAAATTTAAAACTATATTTCCAAGTTAAAGTAATAGTGCTCGTATAATAGTAGTACCAGCGCCCAAAACCCGCTTCGCGGGCCTTGGGCGCTGGAATGTGGCCTTTGCATGAGAAATTTGCCTTCCCGAGAGCTCGGGTCCTTCGGACCCCTCCCCCCTCTGCCGACCACACGCGCGCGTGCAATGTGCAAGAATGAGGAAATTTGTATTTTTTCACATTATGCAAATTAGCCCTCAGGGACCTCAAAAATGAGTAAAACTGGCTTTAACCTTGTAAACTTGTATTTTATCGAAATTCTGAAAACGTCATCGGAAACAGGAGGGTCGATTCCCCCAAGTGACGGAGAATTGGGACGTTTTGGACACGGGAAGGCCCTCAAATCGGGTCTCGAAACTGACATCCATACAACACACACACACACACAAAGATACACGCCAAAATTATATAAGGTAGGAATTATTCTGATATGATGATACTACCCAAATCAGATAAGATACTACGCAGTTATGATGAAATCAATCCCGCAGCGTCATTTTTATTCCCAAAATAGTATGAAACACGTTTGTCTAAAATTCTAGTTTTTCAAGCTGAATTAAGAAATTTCACTTTAAGTATGAAAATTCTTGATTAAGACCAACGCTACGAAGTAGTACAAATTTTTATGAACTGTATTTCTCTAGTTTTTGTTACTTGCAGATTCAGAATTCCTAGATTAACGTCAGCCCTTCCTGCAGCTTTTTAAAGTAACTTGACACAGATTTTTTGCAAAAATCCCTAGTAAGATCTATGTTTTTAGAAGCGGCTGCTTCTGCCAGCCGAGTCCTCGAAATGTGCGGTGCTGCTGCGTTGGCCGGGACGTCGGCGAGCTGTCTGCGAATATGAGCACCCGGGTCAAAACGCTGTGAGTGTTTACTTGCAAAAAGATGTTTCATGTCAGCTTCATATTTCGATGCAGCATTTAGGGCTAGTCAGCCAACCTTTATTAAAAATTATGTCTATTGTGTGTAAATCAGCCTTTAGAAAATTTACGTTTCAAACCTGCTGAACTTTTTAAAGTACCTTGCCCAATGTCACCATGTTCGGTTAATCTCTGCTAGCCTGCCCTCCTCTCGGGGTCCGTCCATTTCCTCAAACAATCTCTGCTAGCCTGCCCTCCTCTCGGGGTCCGTCCATTTCCTCAAACAATCTCTGCTAGCCTACCCTTTTTAGTATCATTTACAACACCTCAATCACGACAATCGACGGTTCGACCTTTGACCGATATCGAAATCTGGAAGAAATGTGAGTTTCATCGAAAATAGTTCGGACGCGATGTTTAATGACCATAATTATAACAAGAATTATAATCGTTGTAATCTCTCATAAAATCTGTTTCTAGCGACATTTCCCACCTCGACCATCTGACCTCCTTCAACGCGTCCGCCGGGCGGAACCTCGGGAATTTGCGCAAATTGTGGGTTTCAGGGATGGAAGAGGGGGAATTTTTGATAAACTCCCGAATTTATGATGTCTGATTTAGGTTTACCCAGACTCTTGTCGCGTTTAATTCCACATGCGTTTTTTAAAATCAGCCATAGAATTTTTGGGATTTTTGAAACGGTAAAATTCAAAATGTGGACTCGCTAGGTATTTCGGTCAGAAATGTATGCAGCATGACCAAAAAGCTCCAAATATCGTATTTACAGAGATGTTCTTGGTGATTTTCTAACAATCAGAGCGCTACTGAGAACGTTATGAATACACACAATTTTATTATTAACATTTATTGATAGGCAAAAAAACGAACATTCATCCCCCCCGCTAACAGCCCAGTACCCTGTAGACGTCTGCGCATATAAAAAAAGCGAATAGTCCGAAATTATTTACGGTAATAACCTAGAGACTCATTGTTTCGGGGAAACATACAAATTTCAACGTTCGGAACTCGTCGATCTGGATTGTTTGGCTCTAACATAATTAATCGCGATTGATAAGCGTAAATAAAAGACTAATAAAATCAGAAAAACGTAAATAAGAATAAATAAAATCAGGGTTTTTAAATACAAGAGAGCTTGAACTAGATACAAAATCGAAAAAAGAAACAAAAATGTTTTGTGGGTATAGGCATTTACCACACCAAACAGATTTTTCGTGATTGCTGGTTTGGGGATGCTCAGTTTTTACGTATTGTTTTATATTTTTAGCTATTAGAATTATTTTTGTTGTTATTTATCCACAATTTGGACTAATTTTGCCGCATCGATTAAATTCCTTTAATGCCGGTTTTTGGTGAACTGTCAGCTTATATTAATTAATTAGTACAAAAAAGCGCTAGGTTAAATTTTTTCGTGAAACACAAAAATTTTAATATCGGTAGAAATGCTTGTTATTAGTTTCAATTTAATTGCCCAGATTTTAAGCCTTAAAAACAAAGGTTTCGATTTTAAAAAAATGCTATGCTAAATTCAGGGCAATCAACTACTGCCCAAAACTCGATGAGATCCACGGCACGCTTCTCAAGGACAACCTGAAAATGCAAACATTGTAATTTTTTGAAATTCATAAAATTAGGAAAAATCGATACCTTTTTTACCAAATTTCAGGATTATCCGGAACACCGGCCTGAAGACGATGCCGCAGCTGCAGATGACGTACCGGAATAAAATGGAGGTAGCCAAAAAATTTTCTACTAACTATGGTTACGTAAAAATGTTTCGAAAAACCGTCTTTTCGACATTTTCGATTTCTGCATACTAAATTCGAATTGATCCTTGGTTTCTATTTCTCGATTCTCTACTTTTTTAAGGTGATTTAATTGACCTTAAATTGAATGTAAAAAGCAGTACGATTCTAAACGGAATAATAAATTATTTGCAGGACTATTCTAATTCTACGCCATAATTCCAGGTGGAGGTCGACCTGTCCCACAACCATCTGCAATTCATCGGCAAGGAGCGTATCAGGGACTTGCGGGCTTCATTATTGCGGTAATTATAACAAAAATAGGAATAACGATTTTTTGAAGCCTGGGACAAATTGGTATTCTGAAACGCAATTCGTGTTCAATGCCAAGCTTGGCTAAAACATTAAATTTTCTCAAGTAATCTAAAATCCTTAACAACATTTAAAAATATCGGCACAATTTTCAAAGCATTTTTGATGATTGTATTAAACCTATTAGTTTTGATTTTGCTGCGGTTTCGCGAGTAAGGCTAAAAGTAGTGTAGATAACAATATTAGAGACGAGTTTTGTTTTGTTTTTCCAATTTTTCTAAGCGGGTTGAGCGTAAAACCAACAGAGATTCTAGTGATAAATTTCAAATCCACCTAACGATTTTATAAAACTCTTTTTTTAAAGCTATCCGCCGTGATCAATATTTAAAAGAGTGGTACGCCCAAATTGGGATCCGGTCATCCATAGGTTTCTATTTTCTGGTTAGTTTCTCGATAATTGAACTGAGATTTCTGGCTCGACTACCGAAATTCTACGAAACATTTATTCTCCAATTCATTGCAAAAATCTTACAATATTTTTGGCCGACGATTCCAGGCCTTGTTGATGCGCTCAAATCTTCAGACAATTTTCTATATGGGGTGCTTGGTGAAGAAAAAATCGGAATGGTCCGGAATCAAATTCAAGCCTCATGCGACCCAATGCAAATTGTTCCAGAAATCCCTTGGCAAGCCTGTCCATTCTATCAAACATATTTTCACAAATTGCCTCCTCCGCTAAAACATGAAGGGCGAGCAGGGCCGGTATTGGATTGTGTATCTGTTACTCAATTTGTAAGAATAATTAATCCGCGCTTTCTCGATCAAATACGAAAGTCCTCCGAAACATTTGTTCTTCCCAATACGCTAAATTACCTTCAAGTATTAAGCTGTCTTCAATTTCTTCAAATAATTTATTTTATTGTATTTGCTCGGTTAAAGGGTCTTGGTGATTTATCGAAAGGCCATAAAGGCTGAATGAATTTATCGATAGTGGGCAATCAATTTTTTAAGGTTTTAATTTGCCAAGAAATGGTGAAAAGGAGATCACACTACAGATTTTTGGGACCTACTGCCGATTATTTGAAACATTTTACACAAAATCTCGCTTTTTTTGTCTGTAGCTATCTACAAAAGTTGTTCTTTTCGTCTATAGCTTTCTCCAGAATTTACCGCGACACGCAACGCGCACGCGCGCCGCCTCGCGTTGCTCAAAACGGGTCGTAACCGATTACGCGATTGCAATCTGGGCTGCGCGTTGCGTATTGCGACGCGGCAAGGTCCATAGGGAATAGCTAAAAAATCCGAAGTCATGCCTTCTCCGTCCCTTTAAACTGATTTAGACTCGACTACAACAAGCTGCTAGGCATCGAGACGGCCGCTTTTCAGGGTAGTGCTATTATTGCATTGTGAGTTTTTAGCACATATAAAGCCTAATTATAAGTGTTGTATTTAACTCTTTTACTACTCACGATATTTTACTTATATTTGCAAGCATTAAATGGAAAACCTTCGATGATTATTAAAACCCAAATTTAAAAAACGTTTCAACTATAAAACTTGTTTCGTTAATTCTTCGTTTGTCATTTTTTTTTATCTTGAGGCCGGCCAAAATCTAATTAAAACGGCAATTGAAAAATTATTTTTATGCTGTAAAAATCGTAATTGGCAATTATCTTGTTTACAGAGATGTGTAATGAGGATAATTAAACATAAAAATCTATCGGTCGTTTTTCAGAAATTTCTCCCACAACCCACACCTCAGCGAGCTCGACTCGGACGCTTTTCGCGACATGGTGCAGCTGAATAAATTGTGGGTTTTCTCGTTAAAATTGAAGCATTTTTGAATAATAATTTTCCTATTAAAGGACCATGTGTGAGTTATTAAAGAGCATTAGAAGCCAAAATCGGCCGGTCGGAATTGCACAAAAAATATTTTTGCAGAAAAATGTTTCACGCTTGAGCGACTACCAACAAAATTTTTGGTCGGTAGTTTCTCTCACAGTTGTCCCACATTCTTGCAAAAAGCGTTGGGAATCCCAACTTGGGATATATAACCTTTAATAAGACTAAATTAGGTTAATTCCGTTTCGCGCCGGCAGGCATTTTTCGGCTCCGCTACAAAAAAATGCAAAACATGTTTCATCTCCCAAAGATTTTCTGCGCAATTTTTCTCCCAGGTAATCTTATGTATCACGCGTTGGCGTAATTTTCAAAAATGTGTTCCAACTTTTACGAATACCGGTAAAACTTGAAGAGCGCTAATTTAACATTCATTCACAATCATAATTTGTCATAATCACAATCATAACGCACGGTTCTTCGCATTAAAAAAATTACAATCAATTAAAAATCCTTTAAAAAATCAAGAAATATGAGATAAATCCTGAAAAATCAAATAAAAGGCTTGTTAGACAAAGCGATATTATTTTTGAATATAGTTTTTATTGTTTAAAAAATGGGTTTTACCGTAAATGAATATGATTAGCGTTTCGTCCCCTAATTCAAAAGATCTGAGGGCCGTAGTGTGCAGAAAATTAAAAACAGTGGATTTTAGAAAAAAAAATCAGAAAATATGTTTTAGTCAAAAGCAAATTTGAGCGATTGTTTTGTGATGCAATTTGTTCCATCAGGTGCTTTAAATTCATAACAACACTTTTAGAGATCTCTCCCATACGGCCCTCCGTGAGCTGCCTACCGTAGGCCTGCGCAACGTCGAACAAGTACAGCTGCGGAACGTCGAAAACCTGAAGAAGCTGCCGCCAATTTTCTCGTTTCGAAAACTGCAAAAAGCCGTCTTCACCTACCCACATCATTGCTGTTTGTTTAAGGTATATTTAATGTAATATTTATTTGTTTAATTAAGGTGGATCCTGGGCGCTTACATTGTAAGTATATTTAATTCAGCGGCTATGTTGATGTTTTTAAATCCAGATTTTTATTGAAACTTGCAAAACAGAATATTTGCTTAGAAACGTGAACAATTTTTTGTTATCCACGGCTGATTGCTGCATTAACAATAACTTTCATCCTGTTTTTCTCGCGCAACACGTTTTTATAAAACCGGTCTGAACCTATAATTTTGGATGATCTTTTGGTTAAAAAAAAAGTTATAAGATTTAGACGGCAGTTGAGAAGAACATATTTTACTACGTTTTAGAATGTGGAAGCGGGATTGTGGTGGTTAAAATTCAAAAGATCTTCTTAAAAATCAATCCATAAGTTGTGGAATTTCAGCTCGCTTTTTGATTAGATTGGCAATTTAACTTTTAACAGAGGCTAATGCTGCAACACATTTTTATGCGGGTCAGATTTTCATTTTTTTTTGCGGAAATTTATATTGCCGAACAAGGGTTTTATATTAGCGATGCCAAATCGTCTGTATAATTCGATATTTTACAGCTAGATTGTCCACAAAATACTTTGAATAACTAGCTTTTCTAGTTGCCAGAAAGTTCGACGAAAGAGATATTGCTTGTCCCTGTCGTACATTTTCCCAGAATTTTAATGAAACACACTTTTCTTAGTATTTTTATGAGGCAAACTATAGAATTTAACAACGATTTAAACTGTAATTCACAACGATTTTTTTCAGCACGTCGACTTCAAAGAAAACCTGCAAGAAGCCCGCGAGATCAAGAAGCGCATTTGCAAAGATTTTGCGAAGACTAGGAAATCGTAAGTGCCATCGGTTTGAAAACTACTAACATCGTCTTGCCTACTAGAATTAAGCCGATTATTGTAATATCATTTGGTGAATCCATTGACAAAAATTGAACTATAATCTGCTCTCAAAAATAGATAAAAAAACATCGAGCAACAAATTCTTGGCGAATAAATGTTACATCCAAAACCATAGAAAAGCCTCGCTTTTTTGATATGATGCAACGCTTGCTTATTCAAACTCGTGCCTTAAATGGACCAGGACCATGTTAATTAACATAAACGTGCAGCTCTACAGAAAGGAGTTCTGCTCCTTCTTGCAGAGCTCGTTCTCACTCTTTCCATCTCTCTCTCTCGCTCTCTCTCTCTATCTCTCTCTCTATCTCTCTCTCTCGCACGCTCTTTTATAGCGTAAGGTTAGCTTTTTTGTCAATTTTAGATTTACGAGAAGTCATTATCCCTAATTTCTATATTTTTCAGAATCAATAATTATTATCCATTTTTAGCGCTACTCCAAAAGAGAAAACAACCCTATCCTCAACGACCGCTCCACCCGGAAATGGATCCAAAAATGCGGTAATTTTTGTAGTTATATGAAAATTGTACAAAATGTTTCATACCCACGCCTTGTAAAAAAAGGCGTTAGCCATGGAATGAAGTCTCGGTCAATGATTGGCTATGTCATTTCCTCAAAGAATCTCTGCTAGCCTGCCCTCCTCTCGGGGTCCGTCCATTTCCTCAAACAATCTCTGCTAGCCTGCCCTCCTCTCGGGGTCCGTCCATTTCCTCAAACAATCTCTGCTAGCCTGCCCTCCTCTCGGGGTCCGTCCATTTCCTCCTCCAATCTCTGCTAGCCTGCCCTCCTCTCGGGGTCCGTCCATTTCCTCCTCCAATCTCTGCTAGCCTGCCCTCCTCTCGGGGTCCGTCCATTTCCTCAAACAATCTCTGCTAGCCTGCCCTCAATCTTTTTTTCTAGGATTTTTTCGAGATGGCGATGGCCCTATTTGAGGCGGATCTCGAGGTGGAGGAGGAGCCGGACTACGATTTGCCACGTGGGTTAAATGCTTATTTTTGTTTCATTCCTGGCAGGCATCTTTTTCAAATTTTGCAAGCTCATGGACTCCGACCGACGACTGCTAACCAAAATAATTGTGGCTAGTCCTTGGGCAGGGAAACATTTCCCTGTTGCCATTTCTAGGTTTTGGTCTTTTAGCATCATTTTTCGCAATGCTACATTCCTATACCCTTGCTTCTAACGCGTTCTTACCAATTAGCAACCGGTAATTTTTTACCTGTGTTTTAGCCATTTTATTAGGATCCGTTAACGCTCTAGTAGGCTTTTTTTAAGTATGTGCTTTGAAACCAATTTTTTTTTTGGAAATCTATATGTATACGATTGTATTTTCCCGAGCTCCGCAGTAGTCTTAAAGAAGTGAAACATTGTCCTTGTTTCGAAACCCAGTTAAATAACTCTTTTTTTCCTAGTGCTTAAAACTTCCAAACTCGAACACTACGGAGCCGGATTGAGCACAAAACGTCCCGAACTTACGCGGTTCCGGCAAAATTTTACCACCAAAAAGTTGCTCAAACTTTACAAAAACCTTCTTTATTTTAAGCATTTTTACTGATTTTTATCTGACCTAATTAACACAGCACGAAGTGTTTCTTAGCGCATGCGATTTTTTTATGCATAGTTTTTTGCGACGTTGTCGACGATGCGTTTTATTGTTTTTCTGTTAACTCTACAGATAGTCCTGGAGAAACGAAACATCGTTTCGTTCCCTGTCATTCGTATACCACAACGACTTTAAAGAGTCTCAAATTTGAAAAAAAATCGAACGCCAGGTCCTGCAAAAGAGCTAAAAGTGCAGATTGTCTTTTAGCAGCATCTGTAGTATCGATAAAGAAAGGAAACGTTGTTTCATTCCCAACCTAACCGACCCGCTCGTTTCTCATTGCTAAAAACGCCAAAATTTGAAAATTCAAAAATCGGCAGAAGCACGCAGCGTGTCGTTTATTGAACCTTTTCGCTGGGAACCTGGCGTCAAAAATTACTCGAGTTGCCCAAAACCGTGCCAAAAAACTCTTAAATCAACTGCACGCAGGCATTACTTTTCCCGGGAAACGAGGCAGGACACTGATGAATCGAAACACTTTTTTCATACTGAAAAGTTGCCCTTGCGAAAACCTTCCTAATTTTTTCAAATTGAATTTATTAGTATTGATAAGTTTTTAGTTACTACCAGGATTTGGACTATTTCAGATCAAATGAATTTTGAAAGCCGAAAAATGTTTTTGGGTTCCTTTTTCCGAACTTATGTTCCAAACATTGCTGATCTTCATTCATTTTCACTGGTTTATTCAGTTGAGCTCTGACATTTGTCCAATTTAAATATAATTTTTCGGGTATTAATTTTGAAAGCGCAAAATTAATATTTTTGTATATATTATTTTATATATATGTATATAGATTACGTATTTTGTGCGATAATGAGGTAGGCTGACAATAAAAGTTAAAAAAATTTTTGATAAGAATAATGTCAAGAATACCGTGAAACAGAATTATCGTTTGTTTGCAGCTTTCGAGCCGGACGAGCTGGGATTTGCGGGTTGCCTGGAGGAAGAGTCGCTAGAGGTAGTCCGAGAGTTCTACTCCTCCATCGAATGCACCCCCGAGCCCGATGCTCTCAACCCGTGCGAAAATATTGTTGGGTAAGTAATTTATTTAAATTTTTAAGCCGGAGTATGACTATTCGATAGCCGATAGTCTTTCGAAACGCAGTTTAAATCGATTTTTAACTACTGTTTTTATGCTGAACAATTAAAAAAACGGTTCACGTTTGGAGATTAAAAGTCCTAAAAACGTGTTTCATGAAATCAATTATAAGCCGGGGTGTCGTTAATCACAGTAGAAGTCGGACATTCACAATAGTTTATTTTTTTGGCTGAATTTAATAATTTAAATTTATAAGGATTATGGTAGCATTGAAAATTGTTTATTAACAACTTTATTTTCAGGTATCCCCTCCTGCGACGGGCCATTTGGGTGGTGTGGATTGCCGCAATCGTCGGAAATGCCCTGGTTTGGGTATGCTTTTAACCATTCTTTTAGCTTTTAAGCAGCAACTATCATTCGTCCGTATGATCTTTCAATACTCAATACGGTTAATTTAAAATACGCATTTTAAATAGAATTAAATTCTGTGAAAACTATGCGGAGAACCGAAATTGAATCGGCCAGCTGCCATTTTTGACCCATTGGGTTTTTGCAATTCACAGTGTGGCCTAAAAGTTCTTGAAACACCTTTCGAAAAGGGTTGTGGATTGAGGATGTAATTATGAAAAGGCGATGTCCCAGTCACCCGAACTAGCTTGGTACAGTTTTTTCGAACCTGTTCTTTTGACGCCATCTGAAAGAGCGTAGCCGAATTAGTAGGGGTGCATAGTTTTGAAAGTTTAAAATGTTGATTTTCGGGGTTTAAATGACTGTTAAAGTTGCGTACCACGAAAAACTATCTCGAAAACCACTGATCAGAAAAATCTGAAAATTTGTGACAATACTAATTCAAGGGTGCTGATCATTTTTCTAATAAATGGCAACAACTGAAAGTGACTGGAACATGGTGAAATCGTGTACTCAAAAGGGTTTTTTGCGATTTGCAGGAGTAGGACAGCCGGCCGCTGCGCGCGAAAATTCTGCACCGAATGGTGTATCGCTTATGGAGCGGCCAGCTGTCCGCATATCTTAAAAAATGCGTTTTATCTGCCAAAAACGACGATTCTGCGAAGTCGTCGTTTTTCGCAGAATCGCACTTTCAGTTGTTGCAATGGATTAGACAAATGATCAGTGCCCTTGAATTAGTATTGTCACAAATTTTCAGATTTTCCTGATCCGTGGTTTTCGAAACGCGACTTTAACAGTCATTTAAACCCCGAAAATCAACATTTTAAACTTTCAAAACTATGCACCCCTACTAATTCAACTACGCTCTTTCAAATGGCGTCAAAAAACAGGGTAAAAAAACTGTACCAAGCTAGTAGCTGTGCCGTTCGGGGGACTCGGAAACCGCCTTTTAAATCTCTATCAACTAAATCTAATCTAGCTTCTCAAGATGACTGAAAGTTAACGATCTTTTAGAATCGCTCACATGCACAATCGATTAGCCGATTTAAAATGCTTGCAGGGCAAATTTAATTTGAAACATATAATTCCACAAAATTTCGGAATTTATTTTTCAAAAGTTGAAGCTTTCATTTTTAGCTTGCTAAAAGCTTTTGGGTGATTTCAAAACCTTGGAAACATTCACGAAAAGCTCAAAAGTAGCGAATTTCCAATTTTTGTAAGGTAAATGCAATGTGAAACATAAAAATGTAGCGATAGCCAGGCCCGCGATAAAAACATGAGTTTCAAGCCATTCTTTACAGCCGAAATTTTCTTTGATTATAATGTACCCTCAATCAAGGTTCCCCAAAAAAAATAATTTTCTACTTGGCGGAAATTAGGATTTCGGACGTTACATTTCTAAATGCTTGAGCTAGATACTTTTAAAAAATCAGGGTCGAAAAACCGATTTTCGACAAACTGAAATATCGACATGATGAACTCAAAGGTTTGAATTTCATAAAATCGATTTTCCACAAGCTAATGCAAATCATACAAATTATTTGCATTAATATGTCAGTCTTATTATTAGTATGGCATTAGAAAATTAGTATTAGTAAAATTAAATAATAAAAATAATCGGTATGTTTGCAGATCGTGCTTTGGATGGCGTACGAGCGTAGGATGCGTGTCCACTACCTCTTTATGTTGAATTTAAGCGTGGCCGATATGGTGACAGGTTTGTATAAATATTTTTAAGCCTAGAAAATGCTTTGTTTAATTATTCTCTTTTCGTATTTAGTTAAGTAAACTACGGTAGGGGAAGGATATCAGGAAATCTCAAATGATCTCTTGCGCTCGAGCAGATTATTTTGCGTTTTTAGCGCATTCTAATAGTGGTATGTGAAACATGAAAATTAAGGTTTTGAAAGCACTCATTATATAATTTTTCCAGTTTTATGTAATATTGAAAATTCCGTTAATATGAATAAAAAAGCTCATTAAACTTCTAAAAATGTAGTGTTAAACTTTTTAAATTTGATAAAAAATTTGAATTTAGGTGTGTACCTAGCCCTGCTGGCCATCGAGGACAACCAGACGGCCGATGAATATTATCGATATGCGGTTGGGTGGCAGACTGGGTAATTATTTAAAAAAAACCGGTTTTATAACGACCAAACAACTAAAAAAAATGAGAATTTCGTGAGTAATTTCTTCCGGGATCATAAAAAATGTTTCAAAAAATTTCGTAATCCATCAGTCCCGGCCCTCCATAATAAAATCGGGCTACCCAGAAGACAAAAATTTGGAAGCCTAAAGAGGTAACCTAGTTTGACAAATTTACCGCTAATTTACCGCTACTTCGGAGGCTTCAAAACGCAACATTTTTATGCCCAAGCCTATACTCGATTTTATAACGGCCAAAAAACATATCGAAAATCAGAACTGATTTCAGAACGATCCTCGTAAATCAATCTTCCAAAAAATTACAAAAAATATGCGCAGACCTGTATCCATGTAATAAAAACCTACCAAGGTCCGGAAATTCCAGATCATTTAAAAATACCCTTGAAAAACTGTGTTTCAAAAATGACTTTCAAAGGCCTCGATGGTTTTTCCAATATTCCATGCTTTTGGCAAATAGTCATGTTGGAAACTTATTAAGGGCGAGGTATTGGCGGCCTACTTATTAACTTTTTTAGTTGGGGTTGCGCAACGGCTGGATTTTTCGCCGTCTTCGCTTCACAACTCTCGATTACCTCTATGTTCTTCATTGCTTTCGAAATGGCGTACAATACCAGGTGAGGCAGGCTAGCAGAGATTGGAGGAGGAAATGGACGGACCCCGAGAGGAGGGCAGGCTAGCAGAGATTGTTTGAGGAAATGGACGGACCCCGAGAGGAGGGCAGGCTAGCAGAGATTGGAGGAGGAAATGGACGGACCCCGGAGAGGAGGGCAGGCTAGCAGAGATTGTTTGAGGAAATGGACGGACCCCGAGAGGAGGGCAGGCTAGCAGAGATTGGAGGAGGAAATGGACGGACCCCGAGAGGAGGGCAGGCTAGCAGAGATTGTTTGAGGAAATGGACGGACCCCGAGAGGGGGGCAGGCTAGCAGAGATTGGAGGAGGAAATGGACGGACCCCGAGAGGAGGGCAGGCTAGCAGAGATTGGAGGAGGAAATGGACGGACCCCGAGAGGAGGGCAGGCTAGCAGAGATGGGAGGAGGAAATGGACGGACCCCGAGAGGAGGGCAGGCTAGCAGAGATTGGAGGAGGAAATGGACGGACCCCGAGAGGAGGGCAGGCTAGCAGAGATTGGAGGAGGAAATGGACGGACCCCGAGAGGAGGGCAGGCTAGCAGAGATTGTTTGAGGAAATGGACGGACCCCGAGAGGAGGGCAGGCTAGCAGAGATTGGAGGAGGAAATGGACGGACCCCGAGAGGAGGGCAGGCTAGCAGAGATTGTTTGAGGAAATGGACGGACCCCGAGAGGAGGGCAGGCTAGCAGAGATTGGAGGAGGAAATGGACGGACCCCGAGAGGAGGGCAGGCTAGCAGAGATTGGAGGAGGAAATGGACGGACCCCGAGAGGAGGGCAGGCTAGCAGAGATTGGAGGAGGAAATGGAGCCAGTGAAAATATTCGAAGCCGTCAATGTAAAGCTCTCACTAAGAAAATCACCATTTTTTGGATAGGGTAATTCTACAAAACATTTTTTTCTTTAATTCTCATGATTTTCGACAATGCAGTTCGGAATGCCGATAGAGATTCTTTAGGAAAAGCTCTATTTTTAGGAAAGCAATCTACGGTCGCCGACTTGGCTTAGGCTTCGGAATACTGATGCTTGCAGTCGGCTATGTTTTAGCAGCTGTTATGGCGGCCCTGCCGCTTTTTGGTATGTAAATTTTGAGTTTGTTGGGCGCACGCGACGCAAGATCACTTTCACATTTTTGTTAATGTGATAAATGAGCCGTTGTCGTAGATTCTAGGCCTAAACTCGCGCATATCCAATAAATAAAGTGAAACACATTTTTTATAAATCTATTTTTCCAAAAAATATGTTTTGAATGAATATAATACTAATGAAAATTCAGTGCCTAATATTTTGCATATCTTCTTAAATCAGTAAAAATCCGCAATAGTCACGAAGCTCAGAATTAATGACGCTTCTTTAAGGTATCTCCAGTTACTCCACCTCTAGCATTTGCCTGCCACTACGCGTTGATACGCTCTGGGATAAGGTAAGAAAATACATTAAAAAACGACTCATCCATAAAGTTATTAGATTTATAGAAACGTACAACATTTAATGATTTTTTATAGAACATCGTCTCTCCGTCATTAAAACCGCAACCAAAACTCGATGGACATGTCGTTTTGAAACATTTTATTTTTCATGACATGCAAATTCTTTCCCACGTTTGGGCAGGCTAGCAGTCATTCTTTAAGAATAATAATAGCGCCTTCGATCAAATTTTCGATAGTCTTGAATCCAAAAACTTTAATTTCAATCAAATCAAACCCAAAAATTCTTTCTAGATCTACATCCTCTTCGGACTCCTATTCAACATGATCGCCTTCTCCGGGATGGTCGTCTGCTACGTGTTCATTTTCTGGATGCTCAAAATCGAGGTATTTAAAATTACTACCGTATCCCTGTTGGCCTGCCCTCCTCTCGGGGTCCGTCCATTTCCTCCTCCAATCTCTGCTAGCCTGCCCTCCTCTCGGGGTCCGTCCATTTCCTCCTCCAATCTCTGCTAGCCTGCCCTCCTCTCGGGGTCCGTCCATTTCCTCCTCCAATCTCTGCTAGCCTGCCCTCCTCTCGGGGTCCGTTCATTTCCTCCTCCAATCTCTGCTAGCCTGCCCTCCTCTCGGGGTCCGTCCATTTCCTCAAACAATCTCTGCTAGCCTGCCCTCCTCTCGGGGTCCGTCCATTTCCTCCTCCAATCTCTGCTAGCCTGCCCTCCTCTCGGGGTCCGTCCATTTCCTCAAACAATCTCTGCTAGCCTGCCCTCCTCTCGGGATCCGTCCATTTCCTCAAACAATCTCTGCTAGCCTGCCCTCCTCTCGGGGTCCGTCCATTTCCTCCTCCAATCTCTGCTAGCCTGCCCTCCTCTCGGGGTCGGTCCATCTCCTCAAACAATGAATTGCGTGCATATTTTCGAAACTCATATTTTCGAAACTCACATTTTCGAAAACTAATATTTACAGCCTTGCATAGGCTTACAACCACAGGTCCATGAAGGAAATTCTGAAAAGACCTTTGGAATCGCCATTGTCGAAAACCTAGGAGTAGCCGCGAGCGTTTTTCGAAATTCCACCGTGCCAACCTGAGGTTCCCTTGTTAGGTAACTTCAGAAACCTAAGAAAATATAAGTTTTCGAAAATATGAGTTTCGAAAATTTGAGTCCCTACCCAAACAATCTCTGCTCGAATTGGCTGAGCATCTTAGCATACTCGTATTAGAAATTTTCAAGCCAAGCATTGTATCAACAATTTTGAAACATATAAAAATCCAAATTTTTCCGGAATTGTATTGCACCCGCCTTGAGACAATTTAGGTTTATTTTGGCTCTATACCGGTAACGGGGTCCTTAAAAAAAATAAGGGTCCTTAAAAAAAATAAGGGCCCTTAATAAAAATAAGGGTCCTTAGAATTTCAGGTTAAGGACCCCTGTCCCAACAGGGGTCCTTAAAATAGATGCTATTTTTAAGGACCCCGATTCCGGAAACTCCCGAAAATACAGTATTTTCGCCGTTTTCGCGGAGACGCGGATTCGCGACAGATTGTCCTTTGTTTCGCATTTTGAATTACACCCAGTTTGTGCCTAAAAATAAGGCTTTGTGCCACCCGGGGCCTAGTCGCTTCGGATGGGTGCGAGCTCGTACAGGGTTTCGGAATGGGGGCGCCAAGGCCGGCGAAGCGCGGCGGGGGCCCCCCATTTCGGAAGAGTGGAGCGGCAGCCCATCCGAAGCGACGGCCCACCTTGCCTGACACGCCATAAGCGTCAAATTTTCCCTGGCTAAAAAACCTAGCACGTCGGGTTGCGTGGAAATTTTGTGGGGATGAGCACGATTTCAGGCTTATGGCGTGTCAGGCAAGGCGGGCCGTCGCTTCGGATGGGCTGCCGCTCCACTCTTTCGAAATCGGGGCGCCTAGGCGCTTCGCGCTCCTCGGGCGCCCCGATTTCGAAACCCTGTACGAGCTCGCGCCCATCCGAAGCGACTAGGCCCCGGGTGGCACGAAGCCTTATTTTTAGGCACAAACTGTCTGTAAGAGAGTCGCGTAATTTAAATAGCTAAACGAGGCACAATCTGTGCAAAAACGGCGAAAATACTGTATTTTCGGGAGTTGCCGGAATCGGGGTCCTTAAAAATAGCATCTATTTTAAGGACCCCTGTTGGGACAGGGGTCCTTAACCTGAAATTCTAAGGACCCTTATTTTTATTAAGGACCCTTATTTTTATTAAGGACCCTTATTTTTATTAAAGACCCTTATTTTTTTTAAGGACCCTTATTTTTTTAAGGACCCTTATTTTTTTTAAGGACCACGTTACCGGTATAGAACCTTTATTTTCATGCCTTTAATTTTCTTTTAAGGACCCAGACGCTCCAAGCCGTCCAGAAGATCGGGCAGTGATCAAGAAAATGGCGCTGCTCATCGGGACCGACATGATTTGCTGGTTTCCCACCCTGTTCTTTGGTGGGTTAATTTTCATTTTTCCGAAAAATCTCTGCTAGTTATCTACACAATGAACTGAATTTTGCTAATTTAAAATACAAATAATGGTGTCAATTGTATTGGGCCTCGATTGCATGGGTTACAAATCACCGTCGACTAGTTCCTAGTCGAGCCGTAGGTTCACAACTTTAGACCAAACATCGATTTTTCAAAGATTTTTGAATTTGACGAATATTTGTTGGGGACTGTTGTTTTTGTATCACATTTTTTTCAACGCTAATTTCCCTCACGGGGCGCCGTTAATTCAAAACACATAAGTTAGCTAAAAAGTTTCAATTTCGGTGTCGATCGTATGCCCGCGTCGCCCATTGCAAAGTTGAGAAGGATTGTAGGGACGGGATCGTGGCTGATTAACGTAAAAAGGCGCCGTTTCTCCCATAATTCAGGCCAAAAACTTAAAAACTCAAACTCGCTGGTTTTTCACCATAAATACTTCAAAATTAAATTTTATTTAAATTAAATTTATATTTGATTTCAATTTTATTAATTCTTGTTTGGCTGGAATTCGTCCCAAAGGTCTTATTGCCGTACTTCATCGGTTTCTATTTTTGAGTAAAAATAAAACATTCATTTTACCGCGGGTGCCGACCTTTTTCTTTATGGTTTTTCCCCATCAAGTGTCATTACTACCATGATTGAGGAGAAACAATTTCTTTGTACGGCTGTGAAAAATTATTTTAATTTGCTTCTTCCGAATGAAAATTCGTTAACATTCAAAACAAACCCAAATTTAATAGCGATTAATACTCGTAAAAACTTTATTTGATTTCCATTGAATTAATTATTTTTTCGAACCCACAGCCAAGGACTATTGTCGTAGTTCCATGATTTCTTATTTTTAAATAGATAAAACATCAGATTTTAAGTAGGACCGTAGAAAAATTGATTTTTACAAAAGAAATTCGTTGCGCTGGTTTTGTTATAGAAAATTCGATAGGCTATTTTATTATGCAAATTTTTCAGGCTTCACGGCCGCCCTCGGGTTCCCGCTCATCTCGATCTCGGACGCGAAGATCTTCCTCGTCTTCTTCTTCCCGATCAACTCGTTTATGAACCCGTTTCTCTACGTGTTCTTCACAAAGGTAAATTAGCGGGCTCCGCCCGCTAACCCCGAGAAATCCTGGTTTATTTAAGAGATTTTAAATGCGTTTGAAGAGCAAATTCCAAGTTTCTTTTGCACACTTTTGGCATCAGATATAGCTCGTTTAATGGCCAAAGCTTTTATATCATTGCTAATGAAAATATTGTTACTGCCGGTAATCCGATTTCTTTAATTATTTTTGAAACTTTTATTTTTTATCAGTGAACCCTCCTTCAGGTAATCCAGCGGCACGTGAAAAAGAAGGCCGTCCCTGCCATCCAGCGCATCGTCAGCATGCCTGTGCTATCGTGGGGTTTCATTTCAAATTTCGTGTTTCATTTCAAGTAGTTAAATTTGATAATTAAGTGATTAATTAATCCAATGTATTAATGCTACTCCTCCTAGTCAATTTATTAAAATGCAAGAGCAGAAAAGGTAATAACAGCCCAGAGGGTTGCTTAAAAAAATGTTTCAAAAAATAAATGGACCGGAGTACTCTGGCGATCTGTAATACCACCCTACCAGGTGTTTCATATTGCCGCCTTAATTTATTTTTTGCGTTTTGCCTTTTAAAGGGATGTGCAAGGCATGTCGCTGAATTTTTTCGACTATCGATTCTTATGGGTTCTATCGAGACCGCGACACGCAACGCTCACGCAGCTCGAACGTTTTGAAAAAGCCTTAAACGGGAACGTCGCGGCATGTATGGAAATTTTTATGCCTCATTTCAAAATGAGTTGTCTAGGGATTTTTTATTGAATTTGCTGCGGCGCGCGACACGCAACGCGCACGCCCCGCCTGTCCATAGCCTACTGGCTATTGGTCATATCTTAACATGTTCGCGAAACTGAAGCTTTTAAGCGTTTTAAGAGGGCAAGCCTGGGCAGGGGTTTGCAATCTTGGTAGGGGTCTGAATCGAAAATCCAGCGCAAAAGCATGCTGTAAAATTAACGAGGATATTAACATAAAGAATTTTTAGACCAAAATATTTATATTATGAGAAACATATAGTATTTATACTTAATCGTCGGTGGATTTTAATTATACTTTCTAGCAAAAATCGCAGCTTTAAAGCCATATCCAGATTCTATGGATTCAGTCGGGCCCGCGGGACGCGACGCGCACGCCGGCCGCCGTCGTAAGGCGATTGTAATTCATTCCGCAAGGGAAAAGGTGCTGTACGCGTTGCGTGTCAGCGCGGGTATAAATCCTGCATAATCCTTAATACACTAAAAAATAATGTTTCAAAAAATAAAGGAACTAGCAAGGTTCGATGAAGCACAGTGACGCCACACATTTCTATCAAACAGTTGAGGAAAATCAATAGCAAAATTTGTAGGCCTACAATTAGTGATTGAATGAATTCAAAACTAGAATGAAAAAGAATACAATGCTCAAGATCAAATTCAAGAAAAAAAATGTTGCAACTACATGTAACGATAAATTGATCAAGAGGGCCACTGGTCAAAACTGCTGCACGGTCACGCTAAAAATCGACAAAATTCTATAGGAAAAGTGACTATTTTATCATTATGACTTGTGTGAATCCAGTGTATTACAAAGATCATATATGCTTTCATTTCCAGAACAATCTCCCAGTACTACACGCATCCACCGAATAGCCGTCGAAAAACGCACGAGGAGGACGCGCTGACGAGCACCATGAACCAAAAGTTAGTCCCCGTTTCTCGTCTTAGGATTGATGGCCTCTGAAAATTTTCTAAAAAACCGGAATTGATGAAACACACATGTTTCAAAAGCACCGACGGACTGGCGGAAGATTTTAAATCGAAATGATTTTTGTGAAAACCGTTTCTTAATGTTTGAAAATAGGTTAAAAATCAATAAATCGTAAATAATCAATGAAACCTAATAAATGCTGATATAGAATACTCGAGATTCGAAATAATTAGAGAAATAGAAAATTCCGATGAGACACTTCTCGGGATTCCGCTCAGACCCATGAATTTTTAACTAATTAATTGCGCTAAAAATTTTTAACTTTTGAGATCGATGAAACATACTTTTTTGATCATCAAGCTTCAGATTCCTCGGCGTTACGCAAACCACCGACACGTTGAGCCCGAGGTCTCAAAGAGGGTCAACTGGCGATGCGGCTTTTGATTTTGATGATGCGCCATCGGGAAGCAGGTATTTCCCTCTCTCTCTCTCTCTCTCTCTCTCTCTCTCTCTCTCTCTCTCTCTCTCTCTCTTCTCTCTCTCTCTCTTTCTCAACCTCTCTCTTTTTGCCGCTCTTTCTGTCGCTCTGACGCTCTTTGGAATTTGGAATTCCTAAGGTTCTCAAAAAATTGTTTAGATCTCCTCGCGTTTCCTTCCAAGACGAAATCGAGATGGCCGAATTTTCGCGGGATGGAGACGAGATTGTTAGAGGTGAGAGAGAGAGAGAGAGAGAGAGAGAGAGGGTGTGAGAGAAACGCAGCGCGAGAGAGATCAACTAATCAAAATTCTCCGGATAATCCAATTTTTCAAAAATCGGCTGTGCTAAAACGTATCAAAACACCCGAATCGAAGTTGGTCGACGCAACAAAATTGAAACGCAACTCTTTGGTTGTTATTGCCTATTGATTTAGCCGCAAAAACTCTTCAGAAAATGAAACATTTGGATTAAATGATACACGTTAAATTTTTACGATTTCCTGAAGCTACTTTTAATCTACAGTACCCCTGGCTCCGCCGATCGTCCGGAAACGCACGATTTCGACTCGGGTGCAGGAGTTTTGGAAGAAGTTTAGCTCCATTCCTGAGGTATGTGAAATTTTAGGAGAATATAGAAAAACGATAGAACCTACGTGGTATGACAAAATTATATCGAAAAGAGCATGCTAGTAATGCGTTAATGGCGATACACATAATTTTTAATTTTTTTTGAAAACACGAAAGGAACATGTTTTACCCAAAAAAATAGCTCAAAATTGGATCGCGTTATGAAATAAGCACGTTCCGAAATGCCCATAATTTGGAAATCCGAAATGTCGATATTTGATATTATTCATTATTATTGCAAAATGTCATTACAAAATGTCGCCGTATCATAATGCCGAAGTTACTGAACATCGAGATTTCATAATGTAGAAATTACAAAATGTCTAAATTTCATAATTTGGAAGTTTTAGAATATCGAGAACCAATATATACAAACCTCCCGGGCAAAACACCCAAATATTATGCCAAAAAATCCTATCCTATAAGCGAGAAAAGTATGTCTGTTTTCTGTAATGACGATTTCTCGGCTGTCAGGCCGAATTCCCGGCTGATTTTTGGCATGGAGGTGGAGAAACACATCTTCTTTATAGGCATTTTTTTGTTTTTCGAAATTCCTTCATTTAACGATTTCACAAGAAAAATAGTGTAAAACCCTTAACATTGTGGCCAAAAAAAGGTTTGTACAGAGGTTATCTCGCGATCCAAATGGAATTGGGCGCTAATTTTTGGAGGGTAGATTGAAAATTGAATTCTCCCGATATATAATTCTGCGTTTTGTCAGATTTTGTAAAATGAAGTTTTTATGAACATTTTTATAAAATGTCCTTAATAAAGTGGGCCAAAAGCCGTGGTGTCCGGGCCATAACTCGAAGCTCAGATGGAATTTCGGGCTGGAATTTGGACCACAGATGCATTCGATGGTGGGGATCACGCGCCTCTTATTATCTTTGCAAATTTTCAGCTGATTCATACTCGAAAACCGAATTTTGTAAAGTGACCAGTAGGCCTTCCTCCGGGATCATTAGGTCGCTCTTTTCTTTGCCTTCCCCGACCCCGCCATTCCCCCAAAACAGAAGAGGGCTTTCCCGCGCCTGTTCCCATCTGTCCGATGGTGTAGTGGATTTGCGCCCGGTCTACCATGCGCATGATCATGAGTTCGGATCCTGGGAGAATTTAATTTTTTGCTTTTTGGTAGTTCAGCAACAAAATTTATTTCTAGGATCTCGGTGTGCGAGGTTTAGGACTGACGCTCGCTCTAGCGCCGCAGGCCAGAGAAAAGGTCCTTGCCCAGGGTCTCGCGCCGCAGGCCAAATTCGGAAGAAAAATCAGTAGCTAGCGCCGCAGGCTGAAAGATTCTAGCGCGAGGTTTAGGCCTGGATCTCGCTCTAGCGCCGCAGGCCAAAGAAAGGGTCCTTGGTCCAGGCTCTCGCGCCGCAGGCCAAAGAATGGCTCCTTGATACAGGTTCTTGCGCCGCAGTCTAAGAAAGAAGGTATTCGAATTCATCGTTCCTGGATGGGGTCCAGTGGAAAAGGGCCGCGAAGCGGGCTTTTTCCACTGGTTTAGACATAATGAAAATTCGAAATGTCGAAATTTCGGCATTATGAAATGTCCACTTGAGGAGTTTCGACATTAACTAGTATTAGTAAAGGATTAAAAATATAACAAAAAAAAATTAAACGATTACAAGATTATTTGGTAGGTTAAGGGTGGTATTTTTGACGAGACTTAAACAATCAGGCCTATTTACTTTGCTTGATTCTAACAAGGGGAAAATATGTTTCAAAGAGAACGCAGCTGAACATCGGATCAAGTTATTCAATAGGTTGTGGGACAAATACTAATTTTTCACAGTACAAAAATATTACATTAAGCCCAGCTTGCAAACATTTTTTGATTCCGTCTCATACACCCTCATAAAAAATGTATTACGAATCAAATTATTGCTGCGGGCAACTGCAACTTACCAATGAAAATGTGCCATTGTCTTGTTCATAACCATGTTTACAGGTATCAGAACATTCCGGAAGCGAAAATACAAACAGCACCAGCCGGCCACAAGCTTCTCCAGAGCCTGCAGGAGAGGAGCAGAGGGTAAGGAGGGGGCCAGCTAGCAGAGATTATTTGAGGAAATGGACGGACCCCGAGAGGAGGGCAGGCTAGCAGAGATTGGAGGAGGAAGGGGTACGGTCATTACTTCTAAAATCATTACTTCTAAAATCATTACTTCTAAAATCATTACTTCTAAAAGTCATTACTTCTAAAAGTCATTACTTCTAAAGTCATTACTTCTAAAAGTCATTACTTCTAAAAGTCATTACTTCTAAAGTCATTACTTCTAAAATCATTACTTCTAAAAATCATTACTTCTAAAAACGTTACTTCTAAAATTTGGTATGCCGGATTACCACTTTTTCGGCATATTTATGCCCAAAAATACGCTTAGAATTTTAGAAGTAACGATTTTTAGAAGTAATGATTTTAGAAGTAATGATTTTTAGAAGTAATGACTTTTAGAAGTAATGATTTTGGAAGTAATGACTTTTAGAAGTAATGATTTTAGAAGTAATGATTTTAGAAGTAATGATTTTAGAAGTAATGATGGGTAGCCGAGGAGGAAATGGACGGACCCCGAGAGGAGGGCAGGCTAGCAGAGATTGTTTGAGGAAATGGACGGACCCCGAGAGGAGGGCAGGCTAGCAGAGATTGGAGGAGGAAATGGACGGACCCCGAGAGGAGGGCAGGCTAGCAGAGATTGTTTGAGGAAATGGACGGACCCCGAGAGGAGGGCAGGCTAGCAGAGATTGGAGGAGGAAATGGACGGACCCCGAGAGGAGGGCAGGCTAGCAGAGATTGGAGGAGGAAATGGACGGACCCCGAGAGGAGGGCAGGCTAGCAGAGATTGGAGGAGGAAATGGACGGACCCCGAGAGGAGGGCAGGCTAGCAGAGATTGTTTGAGGAAATGGACGGACCCCGAGAGGAGGGCAGGCTAGCAGAGATTGTTTGAGGAAATGGACGGACCCCGAGAGGAGGGCAGGCTAGCAGAGATTGTTTGAGGAAATGGACGGACCCCGAGAGGAGGGCAGGCTAGCAGAGATTGGAGGAGGAAATGGACGGACCCCGAGAGGAGGGCAGGCTAGCAGAGATTGGAGGAGGAAATGGACGGACCCCGAGAGGAGGGCAGGCTAGCAGAGATTGGAGGAGGAAATGGACGGACCCCGAGAGGAGGGCAGGCTAGCAGAGATTGGAGGAGGAAATGGACGGACCCCGAGAGGAGGGCAGGCTAGCAGAGATTGGAGGAGGAAATGGACGGACCCCGAGAGGAGGGCAGGCTAGCAGAGATTGGAGGAGGAAATGGACGGACCCCGAGAGGAGGGCAGGCTAGCAGAGATTGGAGGAGGAAATGGACGGACCCCGAGAGGAGGGCAGGCTAGCAGAGATTGGAGGAGGAAATGGACGGACCCCGAGAGGAGGGCAGGCTAGCAGAGATTGGAGGAGGAAATGGACGGACCCCGAGAGGAGGGCAGGCTAGCAGAGATTGGAGGAGGAAATGGACGGACCCCGAGAGGAGGGCAGGCTAGCAGAGATTGGAGGAGGAAATGGACGGACCCCGAGAGGAGGGCAGGCTAGCAGAGATTGGAGGAGGAAATGGACGGACCCCGAGAGGAGGGCAGGCTAGCAGAGATTGGAGGAGGAAATGGACGGACCCCGAGAGGAGGGCAGGCTAGCAGAGATTGGAGGAGGAAATGGACGGACCCCGAGAGGAGGGCAGGCTAGCAGAGATTGGAGGAGGAAATGGACGGACCCCGAGAGGAGGGCAGGCTAGCAGAGATTGGAGGAGGAAATGGACGGACCCCGAGAGGAGGGCAGGCTAGCAGAGATTGGAGGAGGAAATGGACGGACCCCGAGAGGAGGGCAGGCTAGCAGAGATTGGAGGAGGAAATGGACGGACCCCGAGAGGAGGGCAGGCTAGTAGAGATTCTTTCGGAAACTGCAAGCAAGGACAAATGCCGTATTATTGCTACTTTCCAAGCCCCTGTTAGAAGGTGTTTTGAAACATAAATTTGCTCAGAAGGACTACATTGAAAATACCTTTCGATATTTTCAAAAGTCAATATTCTGGCCCCAGTTTTATCATTTAAGGAATTAAAAAATAGAGACAGTTTCTATGTAAAAAATTAATTAATAATGCAATCTGGTAGTTAAATTTATATATTACAGACAGGGGCGTAGCCAGAAAAAAAATTTCGGGGGGGGCCCAAAAAATTTTTCCAAAAAACTCAAAACTGCCGAAAAAACAGCGCCGGAGGCAAAAATTTTTGAAAAAAAGTTACATTGCTCTAAAAATACGTGAACGTGAAAAAATAGCGCCGCAGTCAGCAAAATTTTTCAGAAAATAAAAAACATAAGGGTCCCCCCTTATGAAATTTTCGGGCCCCGGCCGATTTCGGGGGCCGGGCCCAGGGGGCCCACCTTACGCTACGTCCCTGATTACAGCCAAGCTTCTCGCTCAGCTTCCGGCGTCCATTTCTACACCGAAGACGTGAGGGCAGCACGCGGAGTGGACAGGACAGTGGAAGGGGCAGTATGACCTCGGAATCAACGCTGGTAAGTAACTTTTTGAATTATTACAGTGTTTGCTTGAGAAAATATTAGTAGAATCAATCCGAGTTCGATTCGCCAATATCCAAGAAACATTTAATTTGGGAGACAATTTTTGTCCTCATTATACGCATCGCACGGACGCCGCAACAATGCGTATGTATTTCTGGCTCGAACTGGAAATTCTCGCTTTTTAAAGGGCCGCACAAGGGACGCATGACAATTCGTAGAATATGGATACCATCCCGCGACACGCAACGAGCACTTTCTTTCCCCAACGCCGTGTGACGCGTAACCTCCAAATAGATTACGCAACGGAGTCGCGTTCACATGAGTTGCATGTCGTGGTGCTGAAAAATCCAAGGCGATCCATGGTCATGTATTTTACGCAGCGTTGGCCCTGTGTACAGGAGGTGAATCGATTACCCAAGGGAAAGGCGGGCGTGGCGAAAAATAAACTGCTGTTTTCCGCTACTTTAGCGAGATAGGATTGTGCAACCCACACAAAGGACTGCAGCTAAACCAATCAGCGCAAATCCCTCAAGTTTTGAAACATTTTCTTGACACGGAACGCGTACGCGGATGTTAATCCATTACGCAATGGAAGGCCGGGCATGCGCGTTGCGTGTCGCCGGTGCCAAAAAGTCCTGAGAAATTCCATAGCCATACCATGTCCGCTTCTTTAATCATATGCATCGTATGGCCACGAGGCAGTCCGCATATTGCATCTAAAAAATCTCTCCAAATATCTTGAATTTTGAAACAGTTTTGTGCTCAGGCAACGCGTACGCAGCATTGGCGTCATGAACAGGAGGTGAATCGATTATGCAAGGGAAAGGCGGGCGAATGCGTTGCGTGTTGCAGGTGTGAAAAACCCCGGAGGCTGCCTTCCACCCCCACAAAACAACCCAGACTGAAGAAGCCCAGATCGGCCACTCGTTACGTATGCGAAACGAAAGATCGATACATGATCCGTATCCCAGACAATTCTTAGTCATAGCTTGCACGGCCCTTTAACCATATGAGAACTATGCGCCAGCCATGAAAGATTGCACATAAACGAATCAGCTAAAATCCCTCGGTTTATGAAACATTTGCTTGACACGCAACGTGCACCGTTTGACGGTCCACACAGTGCAATCCACTACGGAATGTAAGGGCGGGCATACGCGTAGCTAGTCGCGAGTGCTAAAAAGTCCAGAGAAAATCCATAGCCATGCCTTGTTTGCGTCTTTAACCGTATGGAGCTAGCGGGACACACAAATTGTACAGGGTGTCCCAAAAAAAACGAACCATCTGGCATTTCGCCGTGTTACATCCAATCGGCCCCAGATTTGGACCAGAGGTGTATCAGACCCTAAATAACAACAATCCTGACTTATAGCCCTGTAGCTATAGTAGTTTTCGAGTTATGGCAAAAACAAACTTCATTTTCGATTTTTCATAGGGTTTTCGTGGAATTAGACCCCCTAAACATTAAGTGAAAATCATCCGGTAGGCCTTCTTTACCTTGAGAAATTTTTTTCAGAGTAAAATTAATTAAATAAGCTTCGATTTAAACGTTTTTTACAACGCCAAATCACCCAAGTTCCTAAGCGAAATTAGGGATTCGCAGCCGGAAGTTGATGCAAATCGATGCAAAGCCCAAAAAGATAGCCGAAAAAACTGTTCAGAATTCCTGGAAAAACAGTTTTTTCGTTATAACTCGAAAACTACTATAGCTACGGGGCTAAAAGTCAGGATTGGTGTTATTTAGGGTCTGATACACCTCTGGTCCAAAATTTGGGCCGATTGAATGTAACACGGCGAAATGCCAGATGGTTCGTCTTTTTTGGGACACCCTGTAGTAGCAAACGCATATGCCGTGCATTTATAACTAGCGGACGGTCTGCCTCAACATCTTTATTAGGAGCATGTGATGGGTTTCTTGATCCGTCGCAAGAGTAATTTGCATAAACATGAGCGCGGACGCGCCGGCGCAATGCGTTGCGGCGGCCGCTCCATATGGTAAACTGTCATGGGTGCTCGGGCTAGAGGAATAGTAAGGCTTTGCGGGCACCCATGACAAAATCATTGCCCCCAAACAAATCCGCCCAAATCCATCCGTTTTTAAAACATTTGATTCTCACGCAACGCATACCTCTACTCTCGGGTTTGATGAAGAAGCCCTGATCCGTTACGCAATGGAAGGGCAGGAATATGCGTTGCGTGTCGCGATGCGGAAAAATCTTTAAGAAATCCACAGCACAGCATTGTCCTCTCGTTTATTCAGAGGAACCGTACAAAAATGGACAAAACATTGCAGCTAGATGAATCAGTCGAAATCCCTCGGTTTTTGAAACCTTTTCATGGGACGAAGAGCCCGCGGCTTGGCTTCTTCGAACGGGTTTTAATTGATTACGCAATGGAACCGGGTACGTGCACGTTGATGTGTGGAATTGCGAAAAATCCATCTAATAACTATGAATTCCAAATCCCTCCATTTTTTTGAAACATTTAATTCTGACGCAACACGGCCTTCTATTGGGTTTCGTGAAGCAGCCCTAATCCATTAAGCAATGCAAGCATGGCGTTGCGAGAGTTGTCGCGGTGCGCTGCGTGTCGCGAAGCGAAAAAATCAATGGGGCCTATCTGCCTATCTCCAAAAAAATCTGTTTCCATGACTTTCCCTTTTCTGTAACCATTCAGAAATGCGTACGACCCATTTAACCTCAAACATAGGAAAACCTGTCCCAATAGCTCGATTTTTGAAACATATTTTTGAGACACCGTCCGACAGACGGGACAGTGCAGGCCAGTACGCGGTGGATAGGCGTTGCATGTCACTGTGGGAAAATCTATTGGCAAACGACAGCTGAGAAAACCTAACAATGGCTTGTCGGTCCTTTAAAGGGATGAGGACGGCATCTGCTGCCCCCCCCCTTCGGAAGGGAGGGACTGCCGATGCAGCGGCGAGAGAGTGAGAGAGGGCGCCCAGGGGAGAGGCGCAGAGGCATTTTCTTTCCCACGCGTAATCGATTGACTTATGCCGCCCTTATCCCCCTTGAAAAGCCCGTGATAATTCGTGAAATTCGAGAAATCAATGAAACATTGCATTTAATTTTCGAGGGCGGTTTCGCGTTGATTCTTGCTAAATGTATTTTTTGTTTTTGGCATTTTAAAGGGACGAGGAAGACTTCTATGGATTTTGTTGGTCATAAATTTTACCACACCCGCGACACGGAACGCGTAAGCTCTTTCCCCAACGTAAGGCTTTCCCCAACGTATGGATTCATTACGCCATGCTACGATATGGAACCCCTGTGCAAGCCACAACTTATTGCACATAAACAAATCCACCCCAATACCTCCTTTATTGAAACATTTTTTGGTAAAACCAAAAACCACCTCGATTGGGCTCGGTGAAGCAGTCCTATTCCATTGCGCAATGCAAGAGCGGGTTGCGCGAAACATCTATAGAGAAGCCATAACCAGCAAATTCTGGAATTAATCATCTTTAAAACGACTTTAAAAGACGGCCTTAAAAAAACTCGTTTTACCACGATTTTGCTACGACCGATTATTTCTCAAATCAATATCCGCATCCCTAAGAATTCATAAAACATCCAAATTGCCTGTGCCAGTTTTTGGTTTGTAAGGCCTTTTCTTTCCGGCTGGGAAGGCGGCTTCAGCTGTTTTAAAGGGATCAGCAAGGCGTTTTCTAAATAATTTCGTTCCACGCCACGCAGCACGCACTTCCTTTCCCAAAGTTAAATCCGCGGTAGTTCAGTACGCAAGGGAATGGCGTGCGTGTTGCAAGCCACAGTGCGACCAAAAACTACATAAAATTCATTTCCAACAAAATCCATAGCCATGCCTTGTCCGCTTCTTTAACAATCTGGAACTGTGTGTAACGCACCGGGTATTGCACATAAACAAATCCACCCAAATGACTCCGTTTTTGAAACATTTCTATTGAAACGCAACGCGCAGGCTGTTAGACTTCCAGGAGCGTGGTAATCCATTACGCAATGGCAGGGCGGGAATGCGCTTGCATGCGGAGATTCAAAAAATCAATGTGGTCCATAACCAATAAAATCTGTACCCAAGGCTAGTTTGCTTCTTTAACCATATCGAACTAAAGGGTGTCCCAAAAAAAGCACCCCTCCGGCATTTCGCCGCCTTGCATCCAATCGGTCCCATACTTTGCACAGGGGTGTATCGAACCATAAATAACCACAATCCTGAATTATAGCCCGATCGCTACAGTGGTTTTCGAGTTATCGCCAAAATACTATTTTTTACGTGATTCTAAACTGTTGTTTTGGCTATCTTTTTGGACTTTGCATCGATTTGCATCGACTTCCGGCTGCGAATCCCTAATTTCGCTTAATATCGGGTGTGTCTTTGGGTTACAAAAATTGTTGAAATCAACGGTTATTTGATGAATTTTTATCAGAAAAAAAATTTCTAAGGGTAAAGAACGCTTGCCGCTTCATCTTCATTTAATATTCAAATGGTCGATTCCGACGAAAAGCTTATGAAAAACGGAAAATAAAGCTTGTTTTTGCTGTATCTCGAAAACTACCGTAGCTGGCGGGCTATAACTCAGGATTGTGGTTATTTAGGGTCCAATACACCTCACGTCGAAATTTGGGACCCATCGGATGTAATATGGCGAAATGCCGGAGGGGGTGCTTTTTTATGGGACACCCTGTACACGAGAACGCTACATTAAACCGAAGCAAACCCGTCACAACAGCCCGATTTTCGAAACATTTTTTTTTTGAAACATCGACGGACTGACTGACAGGACAGCGCAATCCATTACGCAATGAAAGGGCGGGGTACGCATTGCGGGTCGCGATGTGATGATTATAAGATAGGAAAACTATATGAAATCCATGATAGAAACATCAGCCATCTGCCCTTTACGCGTTTTTAGCCTCCGGCCCTGAACAAAGTATCGCAGCCAAGAATTCACCCCAAATCCCTGCGTTTTTGAAACAGGTTTTTGACCAAGCCCTGATCCATCTGAATCCGTTAAATGTACCTGCGCGCGTCTGGGGTCGCGATGCGGAAAAATCTATAGGAAATCCATAGGCAAAAAACCCTAAAAATGCCTTGCTAGACGCTTTAAAGGCTCGTAGTATTTCGGCTGATTTTTCCGCTCCTCTGTCTAGATTGATGGAAAGGCGGCTTGAAAATTCTGTTCTATAATTCTGTAATTATGAGGAAAATAATTTTAAGGAAATTCGCAGGTTTAGCCTCGATTCCAGGGAACAAATTCTGGAAAATTTTTACTCGCGTTAAATTAAGTAGCATGCCCAGAAATTGCTACCCCGGAATCGCGGAAACATCAAATTCTACCCCAGCCGAATTTTTTTTGTTTATCGGCTTCCGATAGGGGATGATTCAAGGAGTGATAGCGCCAAATAACCTGGATTGCTTCAGAAATTGTTTAATGTTTTTTTTGCAACAAATGAGGGGTTGCTAGGCGGAATCATGAAGGAGTTTGGGTCTCTATTAATTCTGGAAAAAACGCACCGATACTTGATGTCTTTGAAACACCTATTTTTCGCTGCGGCATTTTTACAACATTTACCGTTTTCAGAAGCTATTTTAGCCGATTAATGGCGTAGGAGGCTTCCCTATATTAGAGGAAATACGGTATTTAAGTGGTAGCGCCAAATAACAGGTCAGAGGGCTCTAGGTTTTTTTAATGGTGCCGATCAAATAATCGATGGATTGCTATGGTGGAGGAAGTTGATTAATTCTGGCACCAATTCGCTGCTAGTCAATATCTAGGAAACATCGATTTTTCCAAATCTATATTCTTGAGACATTTCAAGTTTCTGCACCTTGTTTTAGCCTGTTAATGGAGGAGAAGGCTTCCCTTAAGCCCATAAAAAACGACACCATATTATATAAAATATACCTAGCATTTTTTAGTAGTACCTTGTTAGTTAGATGCTTACGATCCGAAAACAGGATTATCAAAGACAGAATTAGTCGGATACCTTCGAAACCACGAAACATCATTTTTCGCCCCCCGGTTTTGCTGTGTATAGTTGCGTAACAGCCTTTCACCTTTTAAAGGGATGGACTAGGTGTTGAAGGACATGTATTTGATTGGCTTTGGAATGTTCACGGATTTTGCTGCGCTAGCGACCCGTAACCCTTGTCCGGCTTTCCGGCTGTGAAGTGCGTAATTGCTAATTACGAAAATGGAATGATAGGCGTGCGCGTTGCGTGCTGCGGTGCGGAAAAATTAATAGGGAATGAATAACCAACAAAAAACAGCCATGCCTTACCGGTCCCTGAAAAGAAAAAAGACGTGGTAGTTGGCCAAATGGAGTGACGAGAATTAATTCAGAAACTCGCAAACTACTAGCTCACATGCAATGAAACAATGCACTTACCAGAGCCGGTTTTTGGTTTTTTGCTGTCTTTTCAGACAATCAATTGCCTGCAATTTTCAGACATAATTAATTTGACCGGAATTCTCAGGTTTAGCTTCGATTTAAGGGAATTAATGCTCGAAATTTGTCTATGTACTACATCTAGACCGAGTCCTCAAATATGAGAATGTCCGGGAGTTGCTACCCAAGAATGGCAGAAACATTCAATTCTACTCAAACAGAATTCCTTGAAAGGTTTTTAGAGGCAGTGTTTTCGGCTAGTGCCGTTCTGAAAGAGGTGATCGCGCCAAATACTTGCCTAACATAATAACCAGTTGGCTCCGGATATCTGTGTCGATTTTTTTTCCATTTATCTTGTATTTTTGGTTTCGTCTGATCCCCGCCGATGAATTAATTCATGCAATAATTCGCTAATAGTAGCCATTGATGAAACATCTATTATCCAAGACGACTTTCTAGTTGTCAAGACTGTTTTAACCCTTTATTGGGCCACCTGCGCCTTTCTTTTTAAGGCTTGACCCAAGCAAGGCTTGGCCTTTTACCAAGTCCGCCTACTAGATTTTCAAGTTTTTAAGGCTTTTTAGATAATTTTTGACATGAACAAATTCATGTTTTACTAGAAATTCGATCGAAATACTATTACATTGAAAGCCATTTATGGCCATATACAAAAAAAGCCTGATAATGATCATGCGAAAGAACCATCCTGTAAGCAAATACTTTCATTGATAACGCAAGCGTCCGAGGCATCAATAAAAAATGATTCATTGATCGCCAACTATACGATGTTTTTGTGGGCGATAATGCAGGATCCAGGGATTTCGAGAACTATCGTTAACTTCCGGCATAGCACTAAAATGTCAAACGTCCAGTTTTGAATGTTTTAATTATTTAGTATTTTCAGGGCCTTCTAAACCAAGAGCGCCTCTCCCTGGCCACATCGCATGAGGGCGAGAGCGATGACGAGAGGATAGCCGTGCCGATGGTTGTGGTAGGTCTTTCTTTCCTTGGAGTCCCCTGAAGCTAAATCTTTTACAATTTTTATTGATTTCTTTTTGTATCTTAAAATTGTAAAAGATGTAATAAAAATCGTTTATATTTTGGTATGGGGCCGTACGGAATTATTGGAAAAAATTGTTCCCCACGCCCGCTAACAGTTCTACTATTTCGAAAGTCAGCATTGAAAGTCACAAAAATCAAGTCCTAGCACTTTGGAATTTCCATGTTTCGTAAAAACGTCCAGATCGATGGCACAGCCACCAGTCAGTCCTGGTTCGCCAACATTCTTTTCCTTTCTGCGCCTACGGTGGAATTCTAATAATGAAAAATACGTTTGTTTAATTGGGAAAATCAAATTCAAAATTACCGGTTGATTTTTTTTACATTAAGTCAAAGCAGATGTTTTCAATTTCTTTTTGGTTCCTTAATAGATTTTTCAACGACAGATCCAAAAGTTTAGAAAATGTTTATAATTCGGTTTATGTTCCTCCCCCGGCGCAACTCTTACCGCCGCATGTTTCAAATAAAAGTCCATACAGTCCATGCGCAATCGTAAGTACTAGAAGTTTCAGGTGAAAATGAAAATTATTAAAATCCGGACCTGTCACCTTAAAATTTTCATGTTTCGTAAAAACGTTCAGATCATCAGCGGTGCCACTGGTCAATAGCATGCTCTTTTTCTTTCTAAAATTCTATTTCTTTATCCGCTTCAGGTAGAAATTGAGGTCAATCGATAAGATATACTTTTGCCTAATTAAAAACGACAAATACCATTTGATATGGTTGCAATACATTAGGCAGGAAAAATAATGGTTTCTTTTCTTTTAGCCTTGCATATTTTTCGACCCACAAGTCGTAAATGTCAAATTTTTATAGTACTTTCGATCTTGTTAGATCTCACAATTGCAAAAATGTGTTATAAAAATCACCTGTATTTTGTGATGGGGCCGTACGGGCTTACGGGGAGCAGATTGATCCCTCCCCCGCTAACAGGCCAGTACCAAAATCTCCAAATCTGTAAACAGAGGCCGAATTTCGCGACTCTCATGTTTCACACAAAAGCAAGTACCGTCCATATTTTTTATGATTAATGATGGATCGCCAAAATTTTTGGGACCTCCCCGAAATTCCGCCTCCGCTACGGGCCTGGCCACCAGTCAGTTTTGCACCCGAAGCATTTACTTCCTGCTCTTTTTGTGGAATTCTTAGAATCAATGAAATACGTTTGCTTAATAAAAAAAATTTAACAAAATATCAGTTGATTTTTTGATACAATAAGTAGGAACAATATATTTTCTAGTTAGTTATGACCTTTTTATAGATGTTTCACGGAAACATCAAACATTTAAAAAAAAATTGTATAAAATGCTATAAAAACCGCTTATGTTTTGGCATGGCGTGTACGGAATTATTGACAAAAATCCCCCCCCGCTAACAGAGCGGTACAGACCAAGTTTTGGTGCTCTTATTTTTCAGACAAAAATTAATAGCGTCACGCCTCTTTGGCGATCAATACCAGGACCGTCTACGCATAAATTTTGGCGCTAAAAATTTAAAAAAATGCAAAACCTGAAAATTAAATTTCGATGTTTCGGAGACAAACTTTAGGACGACAGTAAAGCGCCCGGTCAATCATTGGATCATATCCTGCCAATCTGTATCTTTTAATACTTGCAATCAGAAGAATTAAATTACTAAACATTATTTGATTTGATTGCTACACATGAATAGGAAAAATAATGTCTTCTAGCTCCACAACTCTCCCTCAACTACGGCAGACCCGGAAAGAAGTGGAGAACCCGCGCAAAAATCGCACAATCCCTTCAAAATGCCCTCATTGCTGGATCGGAGGACGCAGGTGGGTTTTCTTAAAATGGTTCGGAGCTATTGCAATATTGGGGGGACCAACTTATTCCCTTAGAATCCATTTTTTTCAAATATAAATAGAAGAAATGTTTCTAAACTTTCTTTGCGATTCCGAGACGTAAACTTACTTTTTTATTAAAACATGGAAAAAACTCGGTCTTCGACCCAAAATTCAGACTTTATCACGCCCCTCTACAAATTATAGGAAAGAATTAGGGCAGGGAGATAAAACTTACCTAAAGCATAAAATGAAGGAAAGCTATTTAAACAGAAATAGTTTATGCAAAGGACGAAATTCGCGTCGAATTTCATTAGAAAAAGGTGATTCGTCCAGAAACCCGGATGGATTGGAGTTAGCGGTAATTAATCTCCAGGGGTTGGGAAGTAATGGATGCAGCCTATCAAAAGTTTATCGATATTGAATCCTCACGTTAAATTAAAAATAATAAGCCCGAAAAACAATAAAATAATTCTAATTGAAGTTAAGAAGAACTCCAACTATTTCAATTTGAAAAGCTAGAGCGTTCGCTTCTTGCAAAAGCAATGTTGCGTTTTGCTAGTTTGCGGATCCGGTTTTTGTACCTCAATTCGAACAGCTTAAAATAACCTCAAACTGCACATAGAAATTGTTTTGAAAAAATTGAGAGTTTTCAGACAATGAAAAACGTCACATTTTTGAACAAAAAAATGTTTAATCAAGAAAATAACATGTATTTGCGGTGCGCAAAACAATGTATTTCGGCGAACTTTTGATAATCCGGATTAAATTGAAGGCAAAAACACATAATAAATACCAATAATCGTAGTGGGACAAAACTAAATTAAATTAAAGTTGTATGAAATGCTATTAAATATTGAAAGACAAGCGAAAAATTGTATCTTGCTTTCAGTTAAAAATTTAAGACTTTTCCAGCTAAAAGAAGATCGCCGGCGCAGCGTGCCGATCATCCCGCCGCTGCTCGTCGTCAGCGAGTGCTCCGAAAATAGCACGAGCAGCTGAAACTGAAAATCCACGACTTCTTGCCTTCAATGGTCCTTTAAAGGGGCCGGGACGGCGGAAATTCCTATAGAACTCTTGCCAGATTCTGTTTTTTATCGCAAAAATCTCTTAAAATAATGTGTTTCTAGAAAATTATTGGTGATTGAAATTTTTTTACGCTCAATTCGTTTAACAGTGGGTCCGGGCTTATTTTGATTTGTCTAAATTTCAATTTATCGAAGTTTCAATTCCTTATTTGCCTCGACTATTCGCCTCCAAATTTCGTAAATTGAAATTTCAGCGCAGTGAAATTTCGACAAAATGAAATTTCGAAAAAGTGGCTTTCGACGAAATGATGTTTTGACAAATTGAAGCAAATCGTGCCTGGCGATACTAACTATCATACGGATTATGCCTACCATTACAGTCTGCCTCGCCTTACCTATTGTTTTTTATGACCGGTGTTTAATAAAGAGCTTATTTCTAAGTTTTGCGTTTATTGCGTTGGAATAGAACCAATTGAGCTTATTAATCGACCCTGTTGGATGTCAAAAATGCTTTTTGATGCAAAATAGGTTTTAAATACGGGCAGCTACGCCCGTCACCCGGCAAAATAAATTGTAAGTGGGCCTCCAAAAGTTATCAAAATAATTGGCAATTGGTTGTATTTTTCGAGAATTTAAAGTACATATCGACTCACCATATTAAAGCGCTTCGAAAACTCTAAAACCATACTTATAGGTGTAACATTTTATTCCTAAGCAGGGGTGCTTATTTGAGTCATTAGCACAACCTAACAATACCTAGCTCATTCTATAGGAATTCGATTCTGAGCAAGGCTCCGTGGTTCTTTTTTGCGGAATCGCTACCTTGTTTTTATAAAATTGAAACCGGCACTCAATAATGTTTCTTTTAGCTGGAATGGTAGTCGTGGTAAGCACGGCCACTAGTTTTTTAATTTAATAAAACCGGGGACCACTATTCCGCGAAAATGAACAGGCATCTTGTTCAGAATTTAATTCTCTCTCGAATGAGCTAGGTCTCGCGAGGTTTTGCCGATGACTCAAAAAAACACACGTTGTAACATCAATATCAAAGAGAGAGAACATGCAAAGATTCTCTCGGCTTGGCATTACTACAAAAAAAATTCATATAAAATTCTAAGCTTTAATAGAGCATTTGAAGACAAAAAAAAGCGTGTAAAAATCAACAGAATCAGGAGGGCATAGCCACGACATATTGATCAGTATTTATCTTTCTAAGCATCAAGTATTTGTGCAACATATTATTTTTTAACAGGGTGTGGAAGCAAAAGCGCGGGAAAGATAGATAACGCAGGATTCATCAAAAAGCTGTCTTTTGCCGTGGCATAATTCGTTAGCAGGGCGTCATTTATAGCTGATTAGCGCTTGTTAATAAAAACCTTGTTCTCGGTCCTAGTTATTTTTTGGAAAATTTAATTTCTCTATGCTACCGTCGCATGGATTGCTCGGAAAAATAATACCCTAACCTGAAATCCTGAATATAGTTCCGGGTGGAAATCCGGAGTATCCATAATTTCGTATGACTGTAAATAGGTGTGTTTCGGTTTTCGGTTTCTGGCAAATAAATCGTTCATGAAAGGTATTGTTGCAATTTCGAATAAGGATCTGGTCAGATCTCGACTATTTCCAGCATTTTGAGTGGTTTAATGAAAGAAATTTATCCAGAAAGGCTCGAGAACCACTTAATTCGGCTTAATAGCTTTTGCGGCGCAAGGGCGGGGACGCACGTCATTAGAGCGTCATTTGTATTGGTACGTCGCCCTAGTGTACCAGAATCATACTCGCGGTAATTGACGATCGACTTTTTTATACAAGATTCGTTGCTTCCTGGTTGAACCATTAAAGGGCACCTACGACCTTCTCAAATTTTTAAAAAATTATGCGAATATGCTATGATCTGAAAGCCAAAACGTGCGGTCATTGCGTCGCTTTCATGTATTTTTGTTACTTGCAGTTTTGATACATTCTATTTACTCTGACTAGTTTATTGGAAAACACATGTAAAAAATACAGAAATGCACTGAATAAGCCATTTCAATATATTTGGTTTTTCAAAACAACCGAACACCAAGGATTCTTGCTGGGACCCGTATGGAATATTTTTGGGGGAAAATGACAGGAATGGGGCTGAAGAAATGATGAAACACATAAAAAGAACAGATAAAAGAATTTAATAAAAGCGGAAAGAGTAGTTAGAAATAAAGTAAGATTGCAGTATTATAAGGCGCAGGACCCGTTTTTGCTGTTTCAGCGTTATTTAGCATCCGCTTCATTGCATTTTTCTAGACGTACGTCATCGAATGTGCTTCCGGAATTTCCGCAACCGGATGCTCTCGTCGAAGAATGTCGACACTGAAAAAAAATAATGATAAAATTATATTAGTTAAGTCGGCTTAATATAGATTTTTCGAAGATTTATTTCCTCTCAAAAAAGTTTCCTTTTTGGAAAAAATGAGTGTTTCAAGGCATTTTAGATATGGCGCAGTTTGGGTTCTAGCAATCTGCACCACACTGCTCTCCCAAAAAATCCTAAATTAAAATTGAATAAAATTATATACAGCAGAGTCTAAGAAAATTTTAGTGTACTTTTTAAAATTGTAGTCTTTCAAAAATGTCTCCGGTTCCACGAAAATTTTTACGATCAATGAAACTTCTGTTTTGACCGTAATTTGCAGAAAGCTTTAATTAAGCTGTTTATTTTAACCTCATATCGAATTATAGCAAACAAAAAGAAATCCGCTTTCAAACACAGCTTTTAATTTTTTTTAACCTAGGCTGCAAAAAATGTTAAATACCGTGCGTTTGCGTAACTGCTAATCCGAGAATTTGGTATAATGGTCTGTTAAGAATAAAGACAAAGCGAACCGAAATTTCTCGAATATTTTTTAAATTTTGGTGTTTCGAGAATCTCTCATTGGGTGGGAATCCCCAAGATCAATGTTTCTTTGCGAAGTAATAATAAAAGTTGCTTTTGGTTTCATGTACTGATCACGCCTTTTAATATTCATTTAACAAAATTTAACAAAACAAAATATTAAAAACAAAAGGCGGGGCGCCTTTTTATAAGATCCCATCAATTTATAACTTTTCGGGTTTCAACAGCGCCATTTAACTTGATCAAAACTAACATTGTTGTTCATTTTGTTTAATACTATTTAAAATAACCTTGCTTTTACACAAGAGAAAAAGTGTGTTTCAATTCATGTACTGATCAAGCTCCAGTATCGGTTTCAATGAGTGAAGTTGCGTTTTGGTCTGTTCAGTTTAGTAGTTTTTTTAGTTCATTATTTATATATTTTTAATTGACTTAAGCCCTACAAACCCTGCTAAAATTTGTATAAAAACTTGCCGTCCAGAGGTGTTTGGCGGACTGGCCCAGGGGCCGCTCGGCGTCGTACCGTACCCACTCTCACGGCCATTCTCGCCGGAAAGCCTCGATCGGATATCCGTCGCGTCGTCCCATCTGAAGAGCTTTTTTACCGGCGTCCCGACTCAAGATTATTGATCTTGCCACCTATTTCAAAAACGTATCTATTGATGCATCTTTTTTTATGAAACCAAATCTTTTTGAAATATTGAATTTTTGCCGCTCCTCATGGAATTTTTTTGTAAATTGTGTAAATTGCTTTAAAGACGATTCTCGGAAACCGATTCTTAATAGCTCGAGCGGTTTGACAAGTAACATTTTTGATACATATCGTTACAAAATTTCTGAAGTTTTTAAAAAAGAATTCACAAGTCCTACAAGAAAAATGCTGATTTGGTTGTATTAGCTAAGGATGGATGATCATATATTTTTAAACTATTTAACAAACGCCTTTTTTGATGCATTGTTTCCCAGAACTATAATTGGGACAAAATAGAATGGTTTGACAACATGACTACCGCAGCCCGGTTATAAGCTTTGTTGAAATACAACAAGTCACGTTTTTGAAACACCATTTTCTCCTCAAGAATTTCTAACAAAAGTTTTATATCTCAAATTTCAATTTTATCTGCCAAATGCTATCTTTATATCCCGAAATTAATTCTATTACTTGCTCCATAGTTTGGGCTTTTATCGGCGGAAAATATAACTACAAAATTCTGAGCGATTCCGGCAGATTAAAGACCTATGTTCCAAAAAATTTCCTGAGTCGGGGTCGACGGAAAGGTGTAATAAGGGTAGCTAGTAGTATCGAAAAATTTGAGGCAATCGTCGCCGCAAGCAATAAAATTATCTACTGCAAAAATTCTCTTACCTTTTGCCGACCTGCGGGCTGTCGGTGTGGAGCACGACGAGTTCATTATCCAACGAACTGTCGCTACATCCAGGGGAGTGGAATTTACGGTGTTGTTCTACTGAAAAAACCCAATAAATTATAGCGATTTCCTCAAAAAATCTCTGCTAGCCTGCCCTCCTATCGGGGTCCGTCCATTTCCTCCTCCAATCTCTGCTAGCCTGCCCTCCTCTCGGGGTCCGTCCATTTCCTCCTCCAATCTCTGCTAGCCTGCCCTCCTCTCGGGGTCCGTCCATTTCCTCCTCCAATCTCTGCTAGCCTGCCCTCCTCTCGGGGTCCGTCCATTTCCTCCTCCAATCTCTGCTAGCCTGCCCTCCTCTCGGGGTCCGTCCATTTCCTCAAACAATCTCTGCTAGCCTGCCCTCCTCTCGGGGTCCGTCCATTTCCTCCTCCAATCTCTGCTAGCCTGCCCTCCTCTCGGGGTCCGTCCATTTCCTCCTCCAATCTCTGCTAGCCTGCCCTCCTCTCGGGGTCCGTCCATTTCCTCAAACAATCTCTGCTAGCTTGCCTAGCTTGTTTCTTAAAACATACCGTATTCAGCTTGTAGTCTCTGTGGTGGTGGAGGTGGGGGTTTCGACGTGGGCGGAGGTCTTCGTGTCGATTGTCGATAGGCGCTCGCGTAGTCGACCGGAATCTGGAACATTTTTTAATTAAAAAAAGCCACAAGCCAGCGGTAACGGCGCATCATTAATAAAATATTATATTATTTATATTAACGATTGTAAATGGACGTTATCGATTAGGCAATGAAATTCCAGGGGTGCGCGTTGCTTGTCGCGGTGCGGAAAATTCATATAGATCTATTGCTAACAACTGTAGATGTGATTTATATCATAAGTCCATTTTAGATTCATGTTTGCCTATTATTTATTTTAGTTTGTTGCACAATCGATTACGCGAAAAAATTCCAGGTGCGTGCGTTGCGTATCGCGGCGCAGCGCGGGCAACAGGAAATTTCTCCTCAGGCAAGAGCGATTGCTGCTAAAAAAATCCGCGCGAACAGTTCAGTTTTTGAAACATTTTTGTTTTCACGCGCAGCGCTAACGGGTTTTTTATGATTCGGTTCGATTACGCAATTAAATTCCATGCGCGAGTTGCGTGTTGTGCTCTGGAAAACTACAGCGAATCCATAGCCAACAAATATTTTTGATTTTCCAGCATTTCTAACCCATTTAAAACCCATAAACTCACAATCGGGCTCTGCAGCTGTCCCATTCGGGTGGGTATCTCCTCGTAATGTCCGAGAGTGTGGTACGCTTCTTGTAGTCCGTTATTTAGCCGTATCGTTGTGGAGGATTGTCGAAGTGGACCGTCCCCGTTGCGGTAGCACCTGAAAATAATTCCAATTATACCGAGACGTGGTGGATCAAAGCCAATTGCAGGATTTAAGATTTTTTCGTAAGGTAGTTTTGACGAAACACCTTTTTTTCAAATACTGTTTTCTATAGTAACGGCACGTCTTGGTTCGTTTCGCTTGGATTTTGTTGAAATAATCAGTTTCAAATATTTTTCTATGACGCGCAACTATTGGCATATTTTAGAAATTCGTATAATTCAATTTCCACGAAACACCATTTTTAAAAGGCTGCTTTTAAAAGAAAAGCCAAACGTCAGAGTTTTTGTTATTCGTATTTTTTAATATTGGAATAAGAAATATTTAAGAAAAGGAATTATAGATTCTTTAAAAGATCCTCATTTCGGATGTTTCTTTTTTTCATCACAAAAAGGGTAGAAAGAATCACTAGAGTCTAGATATTAGAAATTTAAATTCTAAAGAATTCTCTGTTTCTAAAATTAGATTCCAGAATTGGAAATACATTAACTTCAAAAGCTATTTTTATAGAAACTGAACGCTTTGTAACGAAATCGCTAGCTTTACCTCATAAAAGAACAGGGATTGACAAAATTAGGTGCACTGTCATAGCGAATTTCCCTGAAACACATTTTTCTAGAAAACCTAAATGAGCTTTGTAAAAATAGCTTGTTTTCACCATTGCATTCATCGATTTACGAAGCAACAAATAATCACTTCGGTAAGCATCTTCCAGGAAACATTTATCTTTTTATCAAAATCGGGATTTTCGAAATTTTTACAAAAGAAGTTAAAGTTGGCGTGCCAGCGCGGGAGTTTGAAAATCGGTAAGGCAACAGAGTCATTATCGAATTGAAAATTCCTGTAAAATTGAATTTTGCCGAAACACGTTGTTCAACGCTTATTTTTAGAAAATGAATTGCAAAGAATTGGGTATAAAAGAATAATTGATAAAATTAGTTAAACGGTCAAATCCAATTTTTCTGAAACACATTTTTCTACAAAAATAATTGGAAACTCCAATAGTTTCGTAACAATAGCTAGTTTTTAAGATCTAGGGGACGAGCTATCAGGCAAGAAATAATCATTTCAATAAGCATTTTCCTTGCGACATTTTTCTGTTAAAGAAAATCGGGATTTTCGAATTTGCTTTTTCATGGCAAAATCATTAGAAAAAGAATTAATATTGACGCTCCACATACTGTAAAAAACTAGCTTCCAATAGAAATTTTTTCGAAACTTTTCTCTAAACTGTATTTCATTAGTACTATTTTGCTCACTACCCTGCTACCTGGATTTATTTTGCCATTATATAATAAAACCAGTTAATATAAAACATCCAAGCAGAGCCTATTGTGTTTTCGAATCCCCGCCAATGAATGGAATTTTTTGAAACATCTGATTTTTTCTTGCTTGTGTCATAATTTAGGTTTTATGGGTTTTTATTTTAACTAACGATAAGCGTACCTAAGAGTTGTGGGCGTCAACGTCTTGTGGAAAACCATCGATCCACCCTGCCGCATATCGCCGTACATTAGCATCCCAACGGAGCCCTGAAATTGCATTTGATACAGATCTATTGGCAGCATTAAGAATTGCAATTTTTGCTGATCCTTCAAATTGATTGAAACACTTTCTTAGCACTGAAGATCACAATAGTGCAATTTTTAAAAGTGTATTCTGTTGTTTGAAATTTTATTATTTTACGTGACACTTTAGAGAGACCGATAGAGACAGAACGATTCTTGCTCAAAAAATTCTTGCAATGCTAAAACTTTATGAAACATGAATTACTATGGGCCTGTTGGCAATCTATTTTGAAAGTTTTTACGTTTCTATTAAAATTCTATGTGCTAAATGGTGGTAGGAATTAATTAGCAAAGTAGCGGGTGTTCGCGATGATTGATTCGCAACAAAAATTCGGTGTTTTGTAAAAACTTAAAACATTTTTTGTGCAAGGTTTGGGTAGCGAACAATTAGCAGAACTAATTTCACCCAATGCTCTTGCTTTTAATGAAAAGGTGGCGGTTTAAAATATAGCGGCAAAAAGGAGTAAAGCTAATAAAGAGGAATCCGTTTTTATCAAACCTGAAAGAGAACATTTTCGTCTTTTTACTAAACCGAAACATATTTTTGATACATTTTATGTTATATTTTATTTTATATTTTGTATACAACACATTTACCTACTAAATACTGATTTTTGCATTCTTTAGAACGATGAAACACATTTTCCCTTCTCCTTTTTTTAACGTTGGCAGAATTCCCCGCTTAACTTTTTTAGGGCGCTTGCAGCTTTTTATTAGGTCTTCGAGACTTTCTAATATTATTTATATGTGCGTATTATTTATATTTCCAAAAACCCACGTGATGATTTGGGGTGGTTTTCATCGAGTTGTAGCTCCACATACTGTCCGGAGCAGTGAGAATGTGATCCGCTGACGGGGTCTTCTTCTTTCGGCTCTGTTCGACAGAGGATTGCCTGAAAAATATAAATATGATTTGATATGAAATACAAATTACCTCCTGATATTTTAGATAAGAATTAAAATCAATAAAGATGAAGATAATTTCGTAATACAATTGGCTGGCTGGCCGGAAGATAAATTACTTCTTAAGAGAATTTTTTATCGCATGATGTTTTTGCAACATATTTTTAGTGAAATTATTTTCACCGATGTCTACAGGTTTTTGATTAAAATCTCGAATTTAATTGCATTTACCTCGATGCTTTAGTTATTTTAATAGCGTTTACCAACATTCCGGGATTCGATAGATTATCTTGGATATGCGGAAGAGGAGCGCGGCGAAGCATTATATGGCAGAAAGTAACTCCGGATCATAACATTTTTTGAAACATTATTAAATCCGGATTTCTTTCAATTTTTGTGTTTTGGTTTTTCCTATTTTTTTTAAAAATAATGGCTTCCGGTAGTAGCATTATTTTTCCACCTGATACAGTCTAACAAACCATTAAAATGGCCAAAAAATTCCGATCTTCAAAGATTTTTGAAACATCTCTTTTTTTCGCGGCCGCTTATTTATTTTCAGAGTTTCGGGCCGTCAATTTAATTCTTATTTCCTGCCCATTTTAAGGAGCTACAATCTATATAAATTTCCTCAACTCCCTTCGCTCCCTAGGGGGCATAATTGACCTTGTAGACTCGATTTTAGGGGGGCCCTATTCCGGGGGAACGGGGGCCCAGATGGGACCCCCAAATTATGTGGCTGCGCGCCGAACTGTCTGTCAAAAGGAGAGAAGGAGATAGAGAGAGAGAGAGAGAGAGAGAGAGAGAGAGAGAAACTTGACGAGCATGACGGACAATAGCCCGTTCCTCTTTCCCCCCCCGACTACGTTAAACACCCAATTTACGCGCTGACCTCCTTACAGTGATCTAGTAAACTAACGTCAGCCAGTTTTTGTGACAAAAAATTCTGAAACATGCTTTTCAAAAAAGCCAAAAATTTCGAAATCTGGATTCAACTAATTTTTTTATATTTCTAGCTAAAGAGGAATTCCGAAATTAGTTTGCAAGGAAGTTGACCTCAACGGAAATCTTCAAATACTTGAGTTGCAAAACATCGTCAAACCTTTGGTTGATATGAAACATTAAAAAAATAAACAATATTGACATATTTTGGCAGCTCTTCGCGTCAGTGGCTATGGCCCTCGAAAATATGCATGCGAAACGCGTAAAAATATTGCCAGTAATGATTGTTTTTTATTCCCGATCCAGGCAGAATTGGGCAAACATTATCTGCTTGGATCAACAATTTAACGAAACACCAAATTTTTTATTTATGGGCTTTAATTAGAAAGTGAGAAGGGAGCCTAAAACCCGCCCCAGGGACGATTTCGCTATCAAAGCGAGGCAGGACCACTCGCTTCAAAAAACATGTTTTACGCAATAGCCAATTAAACGAAATTGCTCGCAATGTATTTTCATGTATATTAGGCGTTGCTTGACTAATCTCGGGCGCCATTCCCTCAAAGAATCGCTACTAGTCCGCCTTCTGAGGACCGAGTTCCTGGATAATCTCTGCTAGCCTCCGCGCAGCACCAAACCAAACTTTAGCAACCAATAGCCTGACCAATAACAACCTACGGAGCGGGAACTATTGTACGATTTGTAAGACGTGGATAGGAATCCTACTATATATAAAAAAATAGTGTTTGTGTGTGTGTGTGTGTGTGCCACTTTGCATCCACTTCCGTCTGTCTGTCCGGAGGATATCTCGATAGGGGATGAAGTTACGTGTATGTTTGATACGTCATTAGGTGCGCAATGGTCTTGAGATGACTGCACACATATCAAGTTTTACAAAATCAGCCATTTTCGACATTAAATTTAAGTTTTTGTGAAAGCTCCTTTGTTAGGAAATAATTAACATAGACCGGAAGTGGCACAGAAGGCACAGAAGAAGTTGTTTTTCATTTTTTGTCATCTGAATTCGGGACAATTATGTAAAGTGAAGGATAAAATGGGGTTAGACGGGGCCAGGGTTGAAAAGTCGCGAAGCGGCTTTTCAACCCTGGTCATCTATTAAAACACCTTTCTTCTTCGTTTTTAGAAGTTTCCGTTTTCCAAAGTTTCGTTCTTTAGGGAATCAAATGTCCCTCAAAAACATCAAAGAATCTCTGCTAGCCTGCCCCCTTCTGAGCGTGAATTTACCCAAGCTGATTATTTGCTGCCCTGCTACGATCTGCTCTGTTAGCGGGGGGAGGGACAGCAAACCCAATTTGGTTCAGCGCTTCGTCGGCTCCATTTGTGAGTATATAGTAATATCCGCAAGTTGAAGCGCTTTTTGGGTATTTTATAAATCGAAATGTGCCCCTAAAATTCACATGATTCCAATTCCAAATTCAACGAGTTGGACTATTCGTGAAAAATGCGTAAAAATGATCGAAATTTTTGAAACATCTTTTCTGATTTCGCGCTCAAAACTCCTAAAACACTATAAAAATAGACTACAAAATGCAGAGCTTTTGCTAGTTAATATGGGAAATGTAACTATTTTTCCAGCCACTTCCCCCCCCCCCCGCCCGCTAACAGACCAGCACCAACCAGTCAAATCCCCAAATTCACTCCATTTCCGTCAAATTCATCAAGCTGCCCCCGTCCGTTCGATTCAGGGTGGGTGTCGGCACCATGGCCGGGTGGCCGGCCACTGGGTGTGTCGAATGTTTCAAATGCAGGCCCCCGTGTCATCCCCTCTGGGGCCCTCATTAGGGCCCAGAGAGAGGGCCCAAAACTGGGCCCCCTCCTCCCCCTTTAGGGGCCCACCAGTGACAATGTGTCCCCCGTTGCAATGACTGACTTGGCGATGACACCCCCGACCCGGAAAGGAAAGTATTGGTTGTCGCTTGACTCATTGGGCCCTTGGGGCCAAAGGGCCTTAGGGCCCAGAGGGCCCAGTGGCTCCTTGGCCCTCAGACTCGGACACGCACTAATGCACACAAATTGGCTGGTATCTGGCCGGCTGGGGGGTTGGCACGCTAGTGTTCCGCTGTTGTGGAATTAGCATTGAGATGGGTGGAGAAATCTTTTAAACTTGAGACTTACTTGAGTAAATAGGTTTTAACGTAGACCCGGAGCCGCCACCTTTTTTCTAGTTAATTGGTCCAAACATCTGGTACTCTTTAAAGATTGTTCAAAGCATTCATTTCCAATGAATATCTATGTTTTTGGTCGAATAAAAAAATATGAACTAAAAATCACGAATTTTTGTGCGGCACCACGCTATAAGTGCATCTTCATTTTGTGTAAATTTAATTTAATGGAAAATTCAAGTCATAAGTGCTGACTTGAACCGGACGATTGACACGAATGGACGGTGGCCGATCACCTGTTCGAAAATCATCTGTTCGAAAACCATCTGTTCGAAAATCATCCGTTCGAAAATCACCTGTTCGAAAATCACCTGTTCGAAAATCATCTGTTCGAAAAGTCATCTGTTCGAAAAGTCATCTGTCCGAAAATCATCGGTTCGAAAAATCACCTATTCGAAAAAGGTCCCAAATGGGGAAAAATTCTATGGGAAGCTATTGCTATTAAAATGCTGTGTTTCGCATGTCTCGTGGGCAAGTTCGAGGAAAATCTGAAATTTCGCGGCTATATCGAATCCTCCGCCAAGCCAAAGAAGCGCCCGAGGGTGACCATCGACGAGCAGCAGCAGCTCTGCGAGAACTACAGCAAAGAATATATGGCCGAGTTTCTCGACAACATCGCCAAAACTTTAACCTGAAACGTCATGAATATGTCTTTTAAAGTCTCTTTGTTTTTTTTATTTTTTTTTCATGAAAAGACTTTTCAAAAAAACGTGAATTTTGGAAAAGTTGTTGCTTGGAAAACGGTGATTTTTCGAACAGATGATTTTCGAACCGATGATTTTCGAACAGATGACTTTTCGAACAGATCAATTTTCGAACAGATGTCTTTTCGAACAGATGATTTTCGAACAGATGATTTTTCGAACGGATGATTTTCGAACAGGTGATTTTCGAACAGATGATTTTCGAACAGGTGATAGGGAATCCGAATGGACCCTGCCGAGGCATAATTTTTCACGAAACATTTTGATTTCAGGCCTGCAAAGTGAGAATTAATTTTATTCAGTTCTTGACATAGATAAATTGACCTCCTGGAAAAGGTTTTTTGCATCTTTTGGGCAGGCCTCGTATGACTTATTTTTCCCCTGATTGAAATCCTTCAGCGATTTGTCGTGCGAAAAGTTACGGCAGTTTTGGAAATTTATAGGACATCTAAATGTTTCGGCTCAGATTTTTAGGAAAATCGGAAAAAAGCCAAAATACCAACTGGGAAAATCCCACGACAGACAAAATGCCGACTCAAAAATAGCGGTTTGAGGGGAAGTATTGTTCAAACGAGCGGCGAGTTCATTTTGGCTGTTGGGATCATGACCCCGGACTAAAACAACACCAATCGGTTTCCCGAAAAATTTTAACCTTATCATAAATTCATGAAACATTTTTAAGCATTAAGATATCGAAAGCAAGTCGACAAAATTTTGTAATTTCGAGATTCGAAAAATCCTGGAATCTGAATTTTCGATAATGATTTTCGAGATTCGAAAAGGCCCCTAAAATCATGTTTTTTCAAACGGCCCGCCACCACCACACCAGCCCCATCATCCCTTCATCAAAAATGCCCCCAGGCCATGTAGGGGTATTTTGGGGTCGAGGAGAGGACAGTTGATGGGCCATCCGATTTGATGGGTCCCCACCACCAAAAGGCGGCTCCTTTAAAATGCGCGCCTCCAGAAAGGGGGCCATAAATCTGAGCCGAGACCTTTGAGGAATAGCCAAATGCCCCCAGGGCACTTGTTAATGATGATGGAAAATGATTGATGGATGGCATGGATGAGGAGGGCAGGCTAGCAGAGATTGTTTGAGGAAATGGACGGACCCCGAGAGGAGGGCAGGCTAGCAGAGATTATTTAGTGAAGCGCAAGTTAAGGATAAGCAGCTTCAACTTCATTTCAAATCCTACTATATATAAAAAAATAGTGTTTGTGTGTGTGTGTGTGTGTGTGTGCATTTGAATGCAACTTCCGTCCGTATGTTCCAGTCGTATCTCAATAAAGGAAGAAGTTAAGGGCATGTATGATATGTCATTAGGTGCGTAATGGTCATGACACGACTGCACGCATATGAGATTTTTGAAAATCAGCTGTTTTCGATATTAAAATTAAGTTTTTGTGAAAATCTCGCTCGGCCTCTTTGTTAGGAATCAATTAGCATGCATCGGAAGTGGGGGAAGCCTATATAATGGGCGAGAGGACGCGCTTTTCATTTTTCTGCACAGGAATGCGGGTGTTTATGCAAAGTGACGAAGAATGGGGGTAAGACGGGGGCCAGGGTTGAAAAGTCGCGAAGCGGCTTTTCAACCCTGGTTAATCTTTAATTTTCATGGGGCATCTCTGCGAATTAGAACATTTTCGTGCCACCTTAGCAATAATTTTTATGAAACATACATTCTTAACAACATTAAATTCCAATTTTTAAAACGGCCCACCTTCTCAACCGGACCGCAAAAATCGTGCAGAGGATGCATAGGAGTAAAAGGGCGGCGAGGGCTCCAAGAAAAAGCGGAATTTTTCGATCGCCATTTGGCACCGCAAGGGTTGAGTCGGTTCTGAAAATTCATTGGTTTTAAAGGAAATTTAAAGAAAAATTAAAAGAAATTCAAACTTGTTCCTTTTTTAAAGAAATTCAAAATTTTTTAAAGAAATTCAAATTTGTTCCTGAGCAAGTTCGTTTTGGAGTAAAAGTTATCTGGGAATTAATCGCAGCGACAAAAAATTTTTACTATGTAAAGTTGTGAAACATTGTTTTCGGCCAAACTTGATGACGTTTTGTAAAAAACTGTCGCTTATTCGAGAAGTTAATTAAATAATTTGAAACATAGATTTACTAGTTTGTTGCACCGAAATATTTCATCGCAATTTTTTTAAGTCAGAAAAAGTTGTGAAACACTTTGAAACTGTTTTTTGATAGCTGTTTTGAAACGCTAATCAATTCATTAATCGATTAAGAATTAAAGTAAATTATACATTTTGAGGTACATACCTCGATATCCGGTTCGCTTCGTCGATCACCGACACAAACGGGTCCCACTCGCAGTCGTCAAACTGGAAAAACGAGATTATTTTGTTGGTTTTAGAGGAAGTTTCTTGAACGATTAGATTACTGGAAAGCAACTACGGGATTTCTTCATTTTGCCGAACCTATTTTTAACGAAAAATAGCATTTCGCATTTCGAAAACATTTATTTGCGTAAAATGTTCCAAAAAGCAGGTTCATAAATTTTATGTTTCAGCGCTTATTTCTCGAAAATCTCCAGAAAAACATTGCTTCGTTAAAAGCAGGAGTGGACAGAAAAAACTTTCCGGATAATACGTCCAAGTTTCTTCTAATAACATTTCCGCAGGTTTTTAAATCTGCACCACCAGTGCGTTTCTGGGAGGTCCCCAACCATTTAAATTTAGCTTATTTTGACGTTCAGAGTTTGGTCATTGGGATCTCCGTGGCACCGAGTTAATTAAGCAAAGGATTCGGGCCGGATGGTCAAATTTCTTCGAAACAAAATTTTTCAAACTGGTTCTCAGCTTTTTGCACAAGTGTCTGTCAACTTAAAAACGTGTATTCGGTTAGAAAATAATTGCAAACATTTGGACAGGCCGTTAATCCTAGGCGCAATGAAAGAAATATCGCCATCGAGTGATTTATGTTTCGGAAAACTAGCAGGCAAAGGCAAAATCGTAATCGGCAATTGCTCAAACAACATTTCGAAAAACAGATGTTTTTTTTTTGTTGTTTCAGCATTTTCAGACGGGGCACTCTTAATATCAGGTTGGTAGATAAGTCCTGTCACAATTTTTTGAAATCGCTCTAGAAAGCCGCAGAAACGTCGGATTTTCACTTTCGATACATGATTTGATAGATCTTGGGACGCGCTACTTGGGCAAAACCCGATTTGGTCCCCAAAGTGGGTCGCCGTCGAGTTACAGCTCCGGGAAGTTTTTGATAAAATCTTGAGAAAGCTATTTAGCGTGCTATCTCTACATATAGCCATTTGAATACGATACCATTAACGCCAATCGATAGCTCTCGAGGAGTAGATATGGATAGATGTTGAGATCATGAAAATAGGATACCGGATGGCCGAGATACGGGTCCTTCAAATTTGGTTGATTTCTTAGAACTTTTTCCGAATTCCCATACATTTAGACAAAACCTTTTCCGGGCGCTCAAAAACCAACTGGCAAAATTTGTCACAGATGCGTAAAATGTATGGGATTTCGGGAAAAGTTCTAAGAAATCAACCAAATTTTAAGGGGTCGTATCTCGGCCATCCGGTGTCCAATTTTCATGATCTCAACGTCTCTACTCCTCGAGAGCTATCGATTGGTGTTAAAAGTATCGCATGCAAATTTCTCTATGCAGAGATATCACGCTAAAAAGCTTTTCAAGATTTTATGAAAAACTTCCCGGTGCTGTAACTCGGCTTCCTGTCACTTTTCGGCCTCGTGCGGCAACTCCCATTATAGAGCAGCCAAAGACCTATCAAATCAGGTATCAAACGTGAAAATCGGCCATGTCTGCGGCTATATAGAGAGATTTAAAAAAATTGTGACAGGACTTATCTACCAACCTGATAGCTTTTCTTTCCCTTTCCCTTGAAAATGTTTTGGGTAAGTTTTAAACAGTTATAGAATTCTTGGAAATTAATAATCTGTTAGATTCGCCCCGAAGCCTAAAAATGTTTCAACAATTTCTAAAAGCCAAAATTTTTTACACGGTAATAACAATTTATAAGTTAGAAATTCCAAAAAAGATAACCATTGCTTTAAAACAACACTTCACCCTTCCCATTGTCAACAAATAGACACGTTATTCGAGCAGATCCCCCCGGGGGGGTTGTCACATAAATTTCGGCGGATGTATTCAAGGGGCGAGAGAGGTAGTGAGAGAGAGAGAGAGAGAGAGAGAGAGAGAGAGAGATACATTGTTGTGCCCTGGGGTGTCATATCTACACAACGATCCAAATCCGCGCCGATCTCGTTCGTACCCCCTCTTTCAACCCACGAAATTCGAGGGAGCACGAGAAATCGAGAGAGCAGAGAGAAACAGACAGTGAAAATTGGATCGGTTCGACCTTGGAGGTAGTGAAATTGATCTATGGCTCGGCGATGGATTAATTGAAATAATCTAAAAAATTTTATTGGCAATACGTGAAACATTGTGAGGAAACGTCAACTAAAATTGTTGCGGTTCTTTGTGAAAATTAATGTTTCACAAAAGCGCGCAAACCTGACAATCTTTCATTTTCCAATTTGACCAGTTTTGCCGTTATCTTCGGATATTTTTCTTCCGAATTAATTCACGCTTCTAAATGTGAATTTCCGTATTCTAAAGCGAATAGCATTTCTAATTTTAATTTAAAAGACTTTTATTAAATTCCATTCACATTGACAAAATCTATGGGATTTAACGCTCATCAATTCACATATTGCCGATATATCGAGGTGAAAATCATTACGTCCACGCAGGACTTTCAAAAATTTTTACGTCCTACCTTGAAGAGACAACGTATACCATATTAAGAGAAATTAGTAGAATTTTGCTTGGTGCAACAATGAAACATCACTAAGCCACGAGTCGGGAATTTTCGGCTCTTGCGAAAATTAATGTTTCACTGAAATCTGATAAAAAGCAAATTTTAATTGATCTAATCGTGAGCTCTGCTGGCATACTTGCTTGATTTTTTAGCTCCGTTTGATTCCGATATGGAGAGCGCGATTTTCTTTTTTAATTAATTTTCCTTAAATTTACATAATTTATATCACAAACGTCTATGGTCACTTTAACCAAATACTTGCAAATTTTTCATATTAGCATGTTTCAAAAAATGCTATACCTCTGAGCGAACTTTTTGAAGGGATTAGAAGCTGAGCTATCTCTTCAAAATGCGATTTTCCTCGTTTTTAAACAATTTTTGTAAAATTTAATTATGAATATGCTATTTTCCCCCCATAATTTGCATGTCTTTAGCATATTCAAATACTAGAAAAAGTATAAGGCTTCTCGTTGTGTTTTTCTAAGAATTAAAGCCGGTTTTTCTAATTTTTTACTAGAATTTAATTAAATTTAATCATGCGTATCCTATTTTTAACCTCAAATTTGCATATTTTGCATATTTGCATATTTCAAAAAGTACTACACCTTTCGTAGTACTTTTCTATACATGTAACTCTCTCCCCCTGGGGTCCCGCTGCGATTTTCAAGGATTTTCGGCGGCCGCTCCCGGGCCTCCTCCTAAAGGGATTGTCAAGCCAAAAAGGGCGCTAAGAAAAGAGGGGCCCCCAAGCGAAGAAAGGGCCCTAACAAGGGCCCCCGTGGCCCTCTTGGGACGCTACACACCAAAAGACGCCCCTCCCCTGGGGGGATTCGGCCAATAGAAATTTGTCAGCACACATTTCACCCTCCTGCTGTTGCCAAACGCCAAAAATTCAATTTTGAGCTTTAGCTGGTGGCGCTGCGATTCGCGAAACTCGCTGCCGGAAATTCGGGATTCAAATTGCGGGCAGTACGATACGAAACGATACTTTACTAAAGAGAATTTGAAATTTAGAGACTTTTAGAAAATAATAAACTATAAAGGTAAAAAGCAATTAATAAAAAATGTTTTACACTTAAGGCAAATTTCCATAACTTGAATTTTTTTAATTTCAAAGGTGCAAATGGCGGGTCACGATACTATACTGAAATTTGGAATTTATTTTTGGCCCAGGAAGAACTAAGCTAAAAAACTAAAATTAAATCCATATAAAATAATTTTTTTTTGTTGTTAAAACAGCGCGCTCTTCTCGGAGAAAAATGTTTTACGCTTAATACGAATTTCGATCTATTTTATTAACTTACTGCTCGTAGGAAATCTGTGATTCAAATCGAGCTTCTACGATACGGAACGATGCATTTCGCACCATCGGAATTTTCAAAGTATGTTTCAGCTTTAATTTGATTTAGAAAGAATTTTCTAGATAGTATTGTTGGCATGCGCATAATGGGTTTTTATTGTTCCTCTCTTAAAACTAAAACGCCGTCTAAACGAAAATACGGATAACGCATGATCAAGTGAAATTTTCGCTCAATTGTGATCTTTTCATTATCTTTATCAAAATCGGTTTGAAGACCAGATAAGGCGAAACGCACTTTTTAAGCGGTATTCGAAATTCGCGGATCAGGAAAAACGAAGGTGCCGAGTTTGACATAACCTTTTCGATTACCAATGTTAAGAGAATTCCCTCATAAAATTTTTCGTTAGCTTCAGATCATTTTGACAGTAAATAAAGTTAGGATTTTATTAAAAGAATTTTCTTCCATTACCTCATTATGAATTTTGCACGGGAATATCGGTAAAATCCTTCATCAAAAAATTCGCTAAAGCTAGCAAAAATTATATAAATCAAGCAAGCAAATAAAAATACTAGATTTCACAAAAAAAGATAAAGCTTTGCATAATGTCAGTTTTGAAAAGCCCTTCCTAGAATTAATAGAGGGAATTTTTTGGAGAAATGCTAACATTTTTGAAACTTGATTTTTCTTTAACAAAGTGTTAAAATATCGGGAACTGGATTCAATAAAAGTATGAAAATCTCGGAAATAAACAATTATTTAAATAACCAACCCGCTGATAGGGCTCATCCGATAGTAAATGCCAAATAAGCGAAACGTCCGGCGGAGGGCCAACATCAAAAAGTGGCGGAGGCGGCAGGCAGTCGCACATCATAAACGCATTCGTTCTGGAAGTTAATTGATAAATCTTTAGAAATTAACGGATTTAAACCACATTGATAACAGGATTATTATGGTTGCGTCAGGGTACAATTAGTGATCGTGAGAAAATCGTAATAATAGAAATATATGAAACACGTAAAAATCTAAAACTCCCGGCTTCCAAAGTCAGGCAAGCTAGCAGAGATTGTTTGAGGAAATGGACGGACCCCGAGAGGAGGGCAGGCTAGCAGAGATTCTTTAGGAATTCAAAGAATCGAAATGCGCGAAATCATCGATGTCCACCTCGTTTGGGGGGGCTAGGCGGGCCTAGCCAGCCGAGACAATCGGATTCCGGGGACGGCAGCGAAAAGTGGGCGGGGCTTCCGGCTGGGGGAACTTAGCCTGGGGACATGAAAGTGGGCGGAGCCTGCGAGGCGAAGAGGAGGATATTAAAAACGCGGTTAAACTGGCTGCTTATTGGTAACTTTTTAATTCAGCTCATTAAAATTTTTTAAGGAACATAGATTTCTTAAGAATCGGGGGGGCTATGTTTCAATCAGGACACGCTCGGAGGATGGGACTTGTTGATTAAAAAATTTTGTCCATCTTAACAACGATGAAACATCGATTCGGAAATTGTTTTGATTGAGCCTGGAGCGCTATTGATTCTCAACTAGGGAAAAATAAGGCCTGTAAATATCGAATAAAACGTGAAGTAATGTGCACTACAACGTCGCAGAGACTACAGTGTAATAAATTTTAGGATATGTTTGTGAAACATTTACATGAATTTTTTTGGAAGCAGTATAATTACGAATGATCGTGATCAGGAATTGAGGGGGAAAAGTGCAATAATTATTTTAAACAAAAAGGGCATTCAGAAAATTAACTACTATTACCTTATCTAAAAAACCAGAGAAAGCTGTGAAAATTTTTGAAGGATGTGGGTTCAGCATATTATCCAGCCAAAATTTGATAGAAAAATAGCTTTTTTTAAAACACATAAAATGAATCAGGTGAAATTGATATGAAATGGAAATACGAAAGCATTCATTGATAACATCCCAATTTAAATTTTAAAAAGCGCGGCAGAATATCATCAAATGATTCTTGCTAATCTTTTCGATGGGCATGAGTTTTTGAAACATATTAATTAATGAATCTCAAGCAAATACGCTTTAAAACAAGTAAAATGGTAATAGAAAATACGAATAGATCCTAAATACAAATTGAAAATGGATCTATAAAGAACGGCCATGATAAAGCCACGCAAGTAGCAATTTTAAAAATTCAGGACCGAACATGGAAAAGGCAGCGCATTGTTCCGCAATTATTTTTGCAATCTCGCCATTGTTTTGAAACATTTTAATCTATTAATTTGAAAGACATACAGAGTACATTTTTACTGTAAGTATATATCAATTAATACTGAGATAAAAGACCCAACTAATAAATTATTAAAAACTAAGGATCCGGTGTTAAATCGGAGTTTCATTCTCGTCAATATTGCTGGGGTTCAGAAATTTTTCTAAAACATTCAATTTTTCAAGGTTTATTTGAAATAGAAAATAAAATACAAATAGTAAATACAACAATAGATACAGAAATACGGAAATGATAAGACAGTCAAGTTCAATTTTTTCAAACGATGAATAATTGCTATCCTCAGTGCATTGTCGCCAAAGTACTTTTCGGATTCACGGTTTTACTCTGAAACATTAAATTGTAACATTAAAATTTCAACCATAAAAGTTCATGATTACAGTATCCCGGTCAGGGTCAGTCAGGGCAAAATGCGAGAAATCTCAGAATCATGCCCCGGGGCATATAAGGGGGCGATTTGGGGGGTTGTGGGTTAGGGGGTGGATCTGCCAGCAAATGATGGATTAGCCGTTTGCCCCACTCACAACCCCCTCTCAAGGAGATATACAAGACATGTCCATGCAAAATACGATCTACGAACGGTCGGGGAGGGGGGTAGGCTAGCAGAGATTGCTTGAGGAAATGATCCGATAGAAATCCTACTTCTCTGGCGGAAAACGCGTTTTTACAGAAAGGTGCTTCATCTAAAGCTAAGGTTCCTGAAAATTTTTTCCCACGATTCGTAGATTCACAATAATAACAAAATAACACCCTCTTTTAGTCTTACTTAGGCGTAGGCGTAGGCTTAGGATTGGGCTTAGGCTAAGGCTTAGGCTTAGGCTTAGGATTAGGATTAGGCTTAGGCTTAAGCTTAGGCTTAGGCTTAGGCTTGGGCTTAGGATTAGGCTTAGGCTTAGGCTTAGGCTTGGGCTTAGGATTAGGCTTAGGCTTAGGCTTAGGCTTAGGCATAGGCTTCGCTTAGGCTTAGGCTTGGCTTAGGCTTCAGCTTCCAAAATTCTTTGACATGCTTCGTGAAAATTCGCTACAAATATCAAAAATGAGTTAGAAAGAGGTGTTTCACTTCTCACCAAAATCAGTGGTGATTTTTGTTGGTCAATACGTGATGTAAGCCGATCGAAATGAAAGTTGGGAATAAACGTAAGAGATTGCGCTTCAGTTTCGAGAAAACCAAAGGTGATTTAAGTCATACAGTGCTCAAGCTTTGCCATGTCGACATTTTTCAGGGTTGCGCGACAAAAAAAAGCGAATTCTTAATCAAAAAATATTTGCTTTTGCACAAATAAGTTTTATTTGTTTCTAAAAAGAACGGACAATCGTCACGTTGAATCAGTTGAAAAGCTGGCGTCCGGAAAAATTCAGCTCAACGCGATTGTTGCAAGGTTTCGCTTCTCACCAAAACTAAATGAGCATCAATATCTATAATCGGGTGATCCAGGTACTCAAAAAACACAACCACTAAAAAATGTTTACTAGCAGAGATTCTGTAGGACATGGTAGATATCGAAAAATCTAACTCCATTTTCACAAAACTTTTCAAAAAGATATGTTGCACTCTTCGCCATAATCACCCCACTTTGATTATTGACCAATGGCGAGCAAGCACAAATGCCAAATTATTTTTTGAATCTATTGAAAAAAGCGAGTTTGGCCCGTACCAGAGATCGTTTGAGGAAATGGACGAACCTCGAGAGGAGGGCAGGCTAGCAGAGATTGTTTGAGGAAATGGACGGACCCCGAGAGGAGGGCAGGCTAGCAGAGATTCTTTGAGGAAATGGGCGGACCCCGAGAGGAGGGCAGGCTAGCAGAGATTCTTTGAGGAAATGGGCGGACCCCGAGAGGAGGGCAGGCTAGCAGAGATTCTTTGAGGAAATGGGCGGACCCCGAGAGGAGGGCAGGCTAGCAGAGATTCCTGGCGGAGTTATTGGTCAAGGTTGATTTAGCCCTCCTTTTCGGTTGTTGACATTGAGTGGGCGTGGAGGGTGATTAATCGCTACTCACAACCTGATCCTCCCCTCCCTCCTCCTCCTCTGCCCGGTCAGCCGGTGGTTGCGCAAAAAGGTTACGCAAATTAGGCAACAAATCGACTGGGAGGGGGTAGGATGGATTTACCACCACCCAGAAGGCAAGCTGCGAGCCATTTAGTCTTAATAAAAGCCTTACTTTTATCGATTTTAATTCATTTAATCCAATTATAGCTTAATTTAATTTATTTTGTGAAAGAATATTTGCAAAAAAAGAGCGACGTTTTAGACTAGTTTAATAGCCACTGCAAACTTTAATCATTCCGCTAGGTCTATTATCCATAAAATCTGGGCTGATAAAAAGCTGAAGACAAGAGAAAATGCCTGAAATAATATACCATTTATGTAATTTAGGAACCTTTTCCCGAGTCGAACCACTAATTTTCAAAAAATCGGTTTCAATAATAATAGGGTGTTGGTGGCATTTGGAAACTTCGAAAAACTTATAATTCTTAATATTTTACAGAAGTGGAAACAAATTATGATCCTACAGTTTTATGTAAATTTTATTTTGTAATAACCGCAATTCAGACATTCGAGTGGATTTAAAAAACAATTTGTTTCAAAAAAGTTGCTAGTGGAATGACTAATAAACCCCTCAATTAGCACCTCCCGATTTATGAAATTAACGAATCCAAAAAAAACTGTTAATTTTATGCCAATTATGGGGTATCAGTAGGCATCGTCGAAAATCTAAAAGTAATCAAATAAAATGTAACACAAACCGGGCAGCAAATCAATATTTTATTTGAGAACAAAAATTTAAAAAATATGTTCCAATAAACCTCCTAGTTGGATAACCAGTGGCTGAATGTTAATCAATTTTAGTTTGGTTTGTTCTATAAGCTTAGGAAAGCGCCATTTTCAACAATCAAGCCGTTTCAAAACTACAACCAATAATCTAGTTATCGCCAAGCGGTTTTCAACTATAATTGGAACTTCTTTTACAAAAAAAATTTAAATCGCCCTTTGAAAAAATGTGTTTGCCTAATAATACTAGTTTGGAATCCTCGGAGCAAATTAATTACTTGCTTTGCCACATGCGCGCATTTACATAGCCGGAAAACATGAGCAGCACACAAAAACAATTTTAAAAAATCGTAAAAATTAAGTTAGTTACTGCAAGTTTTATGCAAATCATCTTTTTTGATCCTATGGCTGGACCCTATTTCGGCAAAGCACTCGCTTAAACTTTAAAAATCATAGTTTCGAACGGACAGAAAAAATGTTTCAAAAATATGATATGTAATGGCTAAAGAATTTCCCAATAAATAAAGATAATGGCACCAAATTTGTAGGGATCTTTAGACCTCAAATTGACCCTGCAGGCTGAAGTTCTTATTAAAGTTTATTTAACTAAAGCCTATTCTTAAGAAAATGTTTTACTAAAAATGCAAATGCAAAAATGCAAATTAATTACTTGGGTTCCCACAAGCTTGCATTTATACAGCCGAAAAATATTGACAGAAGAAGAATTATGAGCAATTGTAAAATGGATTTAGCTACCATGAATTTTATACAAATCATCTTTTTTTCTATGGCAGTACCTTATTTCGGCCAAGCACTCGGTAAAACTTTAAAAATCATGGTTTCGAACGGACAGAAA